TTCAGCTGTGAAGAACTTAATGAATCGGGCACTGAGCTCTGCTGTGAATATGACTGACTGAACAGCAGGTGCAGCGACTCATCATTCACCATGATGGTCTCCTTCTTACTGTACTGTACGTATTCATGATCATGTCTCTTTTGAGTTCAGCTTCATGGCAATAAATGACATTTTCGATGCAGTCAAATAAAAAGATTTCATTGCACAACAATTTTTATTGTATTTTTTAAGCACTTCCCCTACTCACTGGACACAAACTTAAGTAATGTACACTGACGAGCCAAAATATTATGATTAGTCATAGATGAAATTAATATTAATTGCTTATGTTTCAATCCAAGGGTGTGAATTAGATTTATGCACAAGTCTGGAATATCCCAGAAAACAGCTGGGAATTCAGTTGCCACAACTTCCATCCAATGATACGTTCATTCATTTTCCTTCGGTTTAGTCTCTATTTCAAAGGTCGACACAGTGGAATGAACTGCCAACTTTTCCAGCATATGTTTTACGCAAAGTTCTGGGTCGTAATAACACCAAACCACTTTGACGAGATGAGATTTTAAATAAATCAAAACAACATTTCAGATTTTTTTACAATGTGGTTGGTCTGAACAATCCCATAACATGAATTTTTGTTATCACATGATCCGTTCGAACAAAATCACAAGACTCCTTTGACCAACATGCTGGAATTTTTTTGGTAAATGTGTTTCCATAGTAGTGAAATATGTGCGTTTTTATCTAATACGATTTAGTATGCACATTTTCAAAATGTTGTTTCCATTAGGCTTTTTTGTGCCAAAACAAAATGTACCAAAAATATGTGAATGAAAATGTAAAATAAGTATCAAACACATGGTCATGTTTTTTTTCCTGGCAATAATATTCCTAAAGGAGCCGTTGACATGGAATTGAACCAGATTTTGGTAAAAACCCAAACAATACAAACATAAAAAACAAAACAAACAAATCTGAAAAATGAGTTCTGTGTAATAACAATGGAATGACACAAGGAGAAAGTGCTGCACTACTGAAATGTATTTAATAGGGATGTAACGGTATTGTAAATACCGCAGTACCGCAATAGCAATTTTTTTCAATATTACCGTACTCGTATGACTCAATAAAACTATGTCTTCTGAGAAACGTTTGCTTAGGCGAATGAAGCGAACGGGAGGTAGCGGGAACTACAATTCCCATCAGCCCAGGCGTGGCCATCATCCTTTGCGGTCTGTTGTTTCTACAGATCCAGTAATGCGGAAATGGAGTGTGCTGCTAGTAGCGGGGAAGAGAAAGAGCTGGAAATGATCGAACCTAAACCGGGTTTTAAATCGTATGTGTGGAAGCATTTTGGTTTCTCTCTAAAAAGATACGAGAAAAGAGAACAGGTGACAGACAAATAAAAAATGCTATGCAGGCACCTCAGTCCCAAATGAGCGGGTTTTTTCTGTTGCAGGGGACATTGTAAATGCCCAGAGATCCCAGCTTTTACCATATTAAATTTATATGATAATTTTCCTTAAAAAACCCATCTTTATCTAAGTGAGTGAGTGATTAAATGTTTAATGTGATGAGTTTTCAACAATACTAAATTGAAACTTTATTTTTTTACATGATTTAATAATTTTTTTGTCATAAAAAAAGAAAAATTAAAGTTCCTGTTTCAAAGCTTACAGATAGATGGGTAATTTGTATGTCATTGACACACTTCATAAGTTTTGTTTTTTCTGTAAATGATTCAATAAATAGCGTACCGTGCCATTCATATCGAGGTATTATCGTACCGTGAAATTCTGATACTGTTACATCCCTAGTATTTAATACTTTATATTAAAGGCTTTTTGGTGATGGCAGCTAGAAGACGCCTCTCATATGGGGAATAAAGTCACATGAATGCAACAAAGTGTAAAAATCTTGATGGTTCTGTGGGTCTCGTCTATTAAATCGGAGCACGGCCATGAGAATCCTTCATATTCTTTTAGAAGCTCAAATTATATACAGTACCATTAATATAAAAGTTATCTGAAGCATGTTAAGATATATGAACAAGCTAAATTCACATCAATTTGTCCAAGGGTATATATTTTATTTTGATCAGTGCATCGAATCCATCTCCCGAAAAACCATAATGATAGCGTACATGGCATCACAATGGAGTACTAAGATTACAGATGGCTTTCAGAAATCATTTGCCTGTTGTTTTATGAAGCTACAATAACAGACGGAGGCTGTTCAGTCAACTCTCCATCCCTGCAGCACATCAGTCGTCAGAGAAAAACTCAAAATGAAACAGCATGTTATAAATCACGCAAGTAAAATTGTGTCTGTCATCACAATAAACAAACATGACATTTTAAAGCATAAATTAAAACCACGCGCAGCATATATGCTTGACAAAACGTCCTTAATGTAATTCATCTTAAATAAATCAAATACAAATAAGGATTGTGTAGAATAAAATGTGCATTCATTTCTTTTAATACTATTTACTATAAGTCCCAAGTTGCAGTTGAGTGATGATACTGATTTCACGGCTGTAGTTACAGCGGATGTTACCGTATTTTACAAAAACAAGCATGAATCCCTGTAATTTAGCCATATTCTGGTGGCTCGATAGGTTCACGATAACAAACACACTCTGAGAACTTTCTTCCCTGACAGAAAGACGTCAAGAATGTCAGGGCATTTCAATGGAATGAGTAAAAGTCTAAATGTTCTTAAAACACTAAAACTTAATAACAATGCCCACGATAACAAGAAAAACATTTGTTTTAAAGGCCAAAACACTGGAATGGAATAACTTTGTATTGCGTTTTAGCTTGTCGTTAAAAATAAGGCATTATCAATGCAATGGCTTGACTTAAAGGGATAGTTCACCACAAAAATGAAAATATACTCACGATTTACACCCTCTCAAGTGAAAGTTTCTTTATATATTCTGCTGAACACAAAGATAAACCTTTAATAATTAACTTCCAGAGTAGGGAAATAAGTACAGTAAATGGCTACAAACATTTTTCAAAATATTTTCTTTTGTTTTGAACGCAAGATAGAAACTCGTTACAGATTATCCACAGAACACCAATCGCTTAAATGAACCTAACCGTTTTAACTAATTTAAGTACAATGAACCAAAAACTGTTGTCGTTTCAACTCATTTTAAATAAGGAGTTTAAACCAACAAAGGTCAACAATTGATGACAGTATTTTCATTTTGGGGTGAAAAATCCCTTTATAAAAATAATCAAAAGTGAATGCATACATTTTATGGACGACTTCAAAAAAAAAAAAAACTAATAACAATTTCTTTAATGCCACATTTATGATTTTTATTCCCTATATACACACACACACACTATTTGACAAAGGTCTTGTTGTCGATCCTAGTTGTAAGAGCAACAAATAATAACTTGAGTTCTAGTTGATCTTTTGGAAAAGTGGCAGAGGGTAGATTTTTTTCCATGATTCATTTGTTGAACTGCATCCCAATCATCACAAATACTGCAGAAGACCTATTGGGACCCGCATGGACCCAAGATTCTTACAGAAACCAGTCAAGTTTGATGAAGGAAAAATCATGGTATAGAGTTACATTCAATATGGGGGCGTGCACAGGCTCAGATTGGCTAATCGGGAGGACCGGGAGAATTCCTGGTGGGCCGGTCCGTTTTTTGGCCGCGAGGGCCGGTGTCCCTAGCTGCTTGCACTCTCAGCAGTGGCAATTTTTTCATTTATTTATTTATTTGACCATAGCCTCACTTTTTAATCATTATTTTGCCGCAGCTTCACTCTTCTTATTTATTTTTTTGCAGCCCTGTGAGCAAATTGCAGCCAGCAGGGTAATGATGATGTAACTATTCAACCCCAAACAGCGGCACCTTAGTGAAAATAAGAATTCGATTAACTAATATTAATGGATATTACACCTGCTCAATGAAGATAACAGCGCCATTGTGGTCCAGTGGTCAGCATGTCACGTTACAATGCTGCAGACCTGTGTTCGAACCTCACCTGAGAAATTATTATTATTTTTTTTATTGTTAAGACATATAATACTGTTAGGGTTGTTGAACATTTGAAGTTCTAAAGCAGCTGTTTTCTTGAAAAAGACGTGATAGTGTCATTAGAAACTGAATTGGAAATTACCTTAATTTAATATAGTCAGTCGTGAACTGAGGTAGGCCGGTCTAAGGCTTGAAACTCCAGGACTGAAAAGGAGTCCCACTCCGGCCCTGGGCGTGCGAGAGATCTGCAGAGTGAATGGCAACATCAACAGCCTGAGGTATCAAGACATTTGTGCTGCCCATTACATTACAAACCACAGGAGAGGGCAAATTCTCCAGCAGGATAGCGCTCCTTCTTATTTTTCAGCCTCCACATCAATGTTTTTGAAAGCAAAGGTCAAGGTGCTGCAGAACTGGCCAGCCCAGTCACCAGACATGAACATTATTAAGCATGCCTGGGGTAAGATGGAGGCATTGCAGATGAATGATGAACTATGAAAGAGGGCTTTCTTTGCCATTCCAGGTGACTTTTTAATAAGTTATTTGAGTCATTTCAGAGATGTTAAGTGACAAGACTTTTATCTAAGCAAAGTCAGACCTTACTGTCCTAATTAAATTATTGAAAATCAAAGCATGATCATATTTTATTTTGGTAAAATAAGCGTAATCTAGAGGCCTTCGCCTTTCATATAAGCCACTTCCTATACTAAATAATCAACTAGAAGTCCAGTTATTATTTACTGTTCCTGAAACTTGGACAGGTGACAAGACTTTTGTTAGGTAGTGTATATACACAAATAAACAGTGGTTTTGACTCATAATGATGGTGTCTTTTTACTATATAATACTAATGTGTATTACTGTAATACTTTTATTTAACATAAATAAGCATAAACAATGTCAAAACATGTATTGTTTGGGCAGGACAGAAACATAATGAAATGTACTGACTACCATAATAACGACATAATACAAAAAAAAAAACAAGTAGCATGGATTTAAAACGTTTTACTTCTTCGGAAAACAAAAAAAGGAACAATAATTTGATCAGCGACTGTGGTCAGTGGTTTACCTCATTCTTTGTGCAAAAGCAAATGGTCCACGAATTTAAAACTGAGAAGTCAAAATTAAAAGTGCTTAAGTGAGGTTGGTAAAGCGCAGGCAGCGTCAGAAGAAAAAAAATCAGTACGCTGTACTGAACATGTGTGGATTAACTGTACCTTACCTGCATTAGTGTTATGTGTTTGTGTATTTGTGTGTGTTCCTGGACGGGTCAGGCACTCCAGCTAGCAGTCCACACGGTGACAAGGAATGGCTTAAGGATTGGACCTGAAGACACTGTTCAGGTCTGATGGTGGTCTTGGGAGGATGGTCTCAGGTCTCTGGAGTCTTCCTCATCTCATCTCCAGTCAGCCATTACTTAAGCTTGGCTGTTTGATGGCAGACGGTGCCAGTGGAGTCTTATATTGTGATGTAATGCTGTCGGAGTTTAGCGACTAAAAACTCATGGGTAAGATTATGCCTGGTGATTATTCCCACAATCTGAAAAAGAAAGATGCACATTTAAAATTTTGTTTTTTTTTCTATAGCTCTGATTTCTATATCGAAATTCTTCTTTATTTTATTTATTATTTTATTCTGTAATTTACTTATTACTGATAGTCTTTTGTATTTAGGTCACTGGTGCTCATGTAAGCATTTTACTGCCTCTCAAAATTGATTTTTTTTTTACATTTTCGATTAACTACATTTTACATTTAAACTAAATAGAAAATTTAAGTGAATTTTGTCTCTTGTTTTATTAAATATTTTAAGGGTTTTCACCATTATTATGATATAGGACAGTGAAGATGTCAGACAGGAAAGCATAGGGAGCAGAGAGAGGGAAAGGATCGGTAAAGGACCCCGAGCCGGGAATCGAACTCGATTGTGCATATCTGAGTGTGCCTCACACCGGTGAGTGGGCTTGACAAACCACCTGTAGAAACACTCTCTCTCCATATGCACCGGACACTTTACTTAAGCTCAACCATACAAGGACTCAATAAGAAAAGTGATGTTTACTTTATGAATGTACCACCTCTTTTCTTCAACCTTTAAAAACTTCTTTTGCACAATATCTCACTCAATATTGTTCTGTCTCATCTGAAAGAATTTATATATACACACTCCTCGGCCACTTTATTAGGTACACCTTACTAGTACCGGGTTGCCTTAATCCTCCATGGCATAGATTCAACAAGGTACTGGAAATATTCCTCAGAGATTTTGGTCCATATTAACAGGATAGCATCACACAGTTGCTGCAGATTCGTCGGCTGCAGATTCATGATGCGAATCTCCTGTTCCACCTCATCCTAAAGGTGCTCTATTGGATTGAGCTCTGGTGACTGTGGAGGCCATTTGAGTACAGTGAACTCGTTGTCATGTTCAAGAAAGGATGGATCCATGCTGTCATGATGTTGATGCCAAACTCTGACCCTACTATACAAATGTCGCAGCATAAATCGAAACTCATCAGACCAGGCAACATTTTTCAAATCTTCTATTGTCCAATTTTGGTGAGCCTGTGTGAATTGTAGCCTCAGTTTCCTGTTCTTAGTAGATATTAGCGGCACCCGGTGTGGTCTTCTGCTGCTGTAGCCCATCTGCCCCAAGGTTGGACGTGTTGTGCATTCACAAATGCTCTTCTGCAGACCTCAGTTGTAACAAGTGGCTATTTGAGTTACTTTTGCCTTTCTATCAGCTGGAACCAATCTGGCCATTCTCCTCTGACCTCTGGCATCAACAATGCATTTGCGCTCTGTAAACCCTAGAGAGGGTTGTGCGTGAAAATCCTAGTAGATTAACAGTTTCTGAAATACCCAGACCAGCCTATCTGGCACAACCAAGCACAGTCAAAGTCATTTAAATCACCTTTCTTATCAGGTGTACCTAATAAAGTGGCCAGTGAGTGTATATATAGCAGTGGTTCTCAAACTGTGGTACTCGGGCTTCCTTCTAGTGGTACACGAAGGAATTGCTTAATAATATTAGATTAAAATGAACACACTTTTAGGCCTCTGACACATATGATAACACTGATGTGATCAGCATTGGCTGTTTCCTGAAGCGACGATCACACCAGTCTGTACCCAATACCAAAGTCTGCTTGAAAACAATAGTCGGTACATAGCAAACTTTACGGTTTACTTAAGATGTAATTTCATTCGCAACAAATCACGAAAATGCCACACGTAAGAATTGGTTAAGCACTGTATTGATTTAATCACTCGCTTTTCTGACTCCTATAGGCCTACTGGCTATTATCCATTAATACTACAACTTGTACAAGTTTTCTTTTTACTTTTTGTGAACAGTGCCATTTTAAACAAACTTTTAAAAGCACATTCTAATTTAAACATTGAAGTTTTTTTGTTTTGTTTTTTTTACCTGCAAGCACAGTTAGGGCCCTATCATACACCCGGCGCAATGTGGCGCAAGGTGCGGCGCAATACTTGTTTGGTAGTTTCAGCTTGGCGCAAGAGTCGTTTTTTGGCGTTGCGCTACGCTGTTTAAATAGCAAATGCATTAGCACTCATATGTGCGCCCATAGGCGTTCTGATCTCAAAAAGGAAGGCGTTCTGAGGTGGACCGCTGGCGCGTCGCTATTTTGAGAAACTAAAATAGATTTTTCATTAGACCAAAACAAACCCGGTCTAAACTCCGGTGCTGAGTTGCGCCTCGCTTACACACTGCTTAATACGCACAAGAGAGCAATAGGTAAATATCTTTACATATAAAAAAAAATTAAATATTAAGGATATATATAGAATATAATAAGAATAGATATAGGATATAAATAAAAAGGATTAAAATATTACAAAACATATTATTTTCTAGCCTACATAAATATGAAAAATCACTGCTTTTATGTCTTCTTCATCTCGGGAGGCTTTTTCAGTTCATTCATAACAATTTGCTTTTGTATAATGTTATTATTATTAGCAGTATTATTTAATATATCCATATTGATATTTCTTTTATTAAAAACAAGCTTAGATTTGCCCACCTGTCAGGTTTTAGACTATATGGGGCACAGCATGTGTTTTAGGATATAACTCAGTTTTTGAACATACTTCTTTAATATTGTTCATTTATTCGTTTGCTGTAATTAGAACTGAATTTAGAAATAGTTTTGAAACAAATCTTTGCGCTTAACAAACGCAATTAATTATTTATAGACTAATTGATGTCTGTGCGTAAAGGTTTCCCTATCCAAGAGCGAAAGTGAACCATTTTCTCTCATTCTCACGCAGTAGATGCTCTGTTTAACAGTTTTCTGTTAAAAAACTGTCAACTGTTTGCTTGTGAAATGCTCAGTTTTTCCACTTAGACTTACTTTGCGTCCTGTAAATAGCGAATGCACTTATGGCACGACGCAGCTGGTTCTTAAAGGGAATGGGAGATGAGACTCTAATTGATTTATTCTCAAAACATACCTATAACTCATTAAAAAAATAAACTCAACCCTTTTAGCCCATACGCCTTAGCGCAAAGCACATTTTCCCGTCCGTAAATTAGCAAAAATGCGTTCTGACACACCCTGAGAGCGTTTGCGCCCTGCGTTTTGCGCTCTGTGCATGGACCGTCAAAATAGAGCCCTTAATGTTTAAACTATTTATAATGTTTAAAGTGGCTGTCAATTATACATATTCTTAATAATAGGGATTAATTTGCCTCATTTTTGAGCTGCGCAAAGCTGTAGCTGCTTAATTAGCCCAACAATACAACTGTATTTCAATACTGGTTATTATGGTGGTACTTGGAGAGAATTTTTTTTTCTGAGGTGGACCTGGTGAAAAAAGTTTGAGAACCACTGCATTATAGTATTTGCAGTTAGTAGTTAATGTAGTCAGATTAATACTCTGTTGTATATATACGTTTTAAATAGCTCTTACGTCCAGTTCATGTTCATATCTATGATTATATTTATTTATGTCGCACTTGACTTGACTTACCTCTCCTACTGCATTGACTACAGGTAAGTGTCGAAGCCCCATAGTCCTGAAAAGATTGAATACTTGGGAGACATGTGTGTTTGGAGAGACTGTATACGGGCAGGGGTTCATGTAGGGCGTCACATCCTGTAAATAAATAAATAAAGGAAGAGAGAGAAATCAAGCTAATTATGTCTGAGAGAGACCACTGAAGAAACTGTCACCTCTGCATGGTTCACTTTGCTACAAGAGCACTTCAACAATTCTGATTAACTCCAATTAAGACTCATTATAGACACACACACAAGAACACATCATTTTTAAACGACATTAACAGTAGATTATGAACTGTTGCGTCACGCCATAAAGAGTTTGACAGGTCAGAGGACGTTACCACAATCATGCGTGGGTTGAGAAGGGCCAGGTCGAGATCGTGGATGTCAGGGAATCGTGGGTAATCCTCAGTCATCTCTGAGTGAGAGAGCCGTGGCTGTGAGGCACTCTGTGGAAAGGGAGAATATGGAAATTTAGAGCTGCACAATATATTAAAGAATTAGCGATATTGTGATAATGGTATCTGCAATATTCATATAGTAGAGAGGAGAAATGCAACAAAATTAAAATTCTCGGCTGAACTAGTGTTATATGTTGGTGCACTGGCTACAAGATTATCAGCACATACTGTTTATCCAAATTTGACCAATCAGATGGAGCCTTACTATCATTATACCTGCCTATCCAGTAGATGCTATTCTGCTATTAGCTAGAAAGTGAACCTAGAGATGAAAATAAATACTAATGACAAGAGTAGAGAGAGGAAAGAGAGGAAAATAACAACAGCTAATCCGCTTGTTAAGTGTGACTTCACGCTTAGCGGCTTCCGGGTCCAAGCGCTCTATTCAACTGAATGGGGAGATTCATGAAATGGTAAAAATAAACGTTTACAAAGCGATTTAATACTTTCGAAAATCACGATCGCAATATATATGTCCATGCCTAATATCCGATGGCCAGAAAGTAATTCATTGTTTTATAAATTGTTAAAATTTTGGTATTTGTTATGCAGCAAGCCCAGAGATTGTTGTGTACACTATGACTTTATACAAAATTAACTTTAATGTGTGATATGAATAAAAAGTGATCATAAATGAATGATTTCTCCACTCAAGTGAATGGCGGCTTGGACCCGGAAACAGCATTACATACATCACAAACATGTCACCACTTAACAAGCGCATATGAGTCAGAATATCTGCACCTCAGGCTGTTGATGTTGCCATCCACTTTGCAGATCTCTCGCACGCCCCCATACTGAATGTAACCCCAAACCATGATTTTTCCTTCACCAAACTTGACTGATTTCTGTGTATATCTTGGGTCCATGCAGGGTCCAATAGGTCTTCTGCAGTATTTGTGATGATTGGGATGCAGCTCAACAGATGATTCATGGAAAAATCAACCTTCTGCCACTTTTCCAAATGATCAACTAGAAGTCAAGTTATTATTTGTTACTCTTACAACTGGAATCCACGACAAGACTTTTTTTTCCAAGTAGTGTACACACAATTTTGAATTTTTTTTTATCAATTTCTCATTGAATATAGGTAAAATATTTTGGTGCATTTGAACAAAACAGATTTATTAAACAGATATATTTATTAAAGTAATATTTTAGTCACTGAAGATTGTTGAAAATAGAAAAATGATACATTTAAATTGATGCAAAACATTGGAAATATGACTAAATTTTGATGATCCCTTTAGCGTATTTTGTTGAATTTGAGTTACATTGCATCTACATGCCAACTAATTCTCATTAAATTATAAGTAGACTGTCGGTTGGGGTTGGGGTTAGGGTTAGGGTTGGTGTAAGCTGACATGTACCTAAAAGGTTTCTTATAGTCAGTTAAATGTTTGTTGAAGGAGCAGATCAGCAGACAGTCTACTAATACGCAAATGAGAATTTATTGGCATGTAGTTGCAATGCAACTTTTAGTCAACAAAATGTGCAATAGGGACCATCAAAATAAAGTCTTACCTTATACCTTTTTATTTAATATTTTTCCTTAACACATGAATTTGGGTGTACTAAAGTTAGACCGTTATCATAAGTTATTTTGTTCAATTAGCTCCACATTTGGCTTCAGTACAGACTAATCTTATGTATATGAACAAATATAATATTGTAAACTATTCAAAGGTGTAACCTTTAATACACTTTTATACAGAGATTATGCATAACATAAAGCTGAATGAATGATCTTTCAATTGATGTATAGTTTGTTAGAATAGGACCACATTTGGCCGAGGTAAAACTACTTGAATATGTCTAAATTAAGTTCTTAGCAATGCATATTACTTATCCTTTACTCACACTCAAACAGTTCTAAACATATACAAACTTCTTCTGTTGAACACAAAAGAAGATTTTCTGAATATTGTTGGAAAAAAAGCAGCCACTGACATCTATAGCAGGAACAAAAAAAAAACATTGAGGAAATCAATGGTTGTTTTTCCCCCAATATGCTTGAGTATATCTTTCTTTGTTTTCAAAAAAAGTAAGAAAGTTGAGGATGATAACAGAATTTCCATTTTTGGGTAAGCTGTCCCTTTAAGTGTAAAAAAACTTGTAGGGGAATCCAGGATTAATCTAACTTAATTTGGCGCCTAAATAACTATCAGATCTCCTGCATCCCTAACAGTCCTCCAAGAAGATTAAGATCTTGTAATCTTACTTTATTGAAAATCCCTATTTCGAGGATGAAACGCAGGGGAGACCAAGCTTTTTCATGGGTGGGTGCTCGTTTATGGAATTGTTTACAACTGAGAATGGCCAGCTCTTTACCTGCTTTTTAAATCTCTTCTTAAAACTCACTTTTTCTTTCTAACAAGTATTAGTCTGCTGTTCATGCTTCTTAACTTGTCTGCACTTGCTTCACTAAGCAGTTATTGTCATTTCTTTACTTTGTTATGTAATACTTTCTTCACCTCTTCATTCATTCATTCATTTTCTTGTCGGCTTAGTCCCTTTATTAATCCGGGATCGCCACAGCAGAATGAACCGCCAACTTATCCAGCAAGTTTTTACGCAGCGGATGCCCTTCCAGCCACAACCCATCTCTGGGAAACATCCACACACTTTCACACACACTCATTCACTATGGACAATTTAGATTTTAATACCCAATTCACCTGTACCACATGTGTTTGGACTGTGGGGGAAACCGGAGCACCCAGAGGAAACCCACACGAAGGCAGGGAGAACATGCAAACTCCACACAGAAACGCCAACTGAGCCGAGGTTCGAACCAGCAACCCAGCGACCTTCTTGCTGTGAGGCGACAGCACTACCTACTGCGCCACTGCCTCGCCTCTTCACCTCTTATTGTTTTATTTTGTAAATTCAATAAGCTTAAACATTGTCAGATGTCATTGCATTGCCAGATTTAAAAAAAAGAATTGAAGAAACGGGAAGAAAATTGAAGTGGAGAAGTTTGAATGACACCGACCGACTGGTTTTCAGCATAGCAGACGCCACGGATCAGCAAGTTGACAAGCTGTGAGCGCAGGATGAGTCCGTGAAAGGTGAGCGGTCTGAACCTCTCCTCCATGGTCCACTCTTCACTGGGTGACTGATCTGGGTAGAGGTTTGGGTATGGCGCGTGCCTGCCAACATCATCAACAAGAGACAGCATTAACAGTTGTAGTTGTTGTAGTATATCAGTAGTGGGAGAAGAAGTTGTAGTTGTAGTAGTTGCAGTACTAGTAGTATCTCAATGTTATGACATTTAGTTGATGTGTGTGGATCTATGCATGCCATCTTGTGTTCTCTCTATGTGTTTATGCTTTTGTTTGAAGGAAGGCGGTTCCTGGAGGAAATTTGAGGGTGGATTCGATTGGTTCTTATCTCAACCTACTCTGTATAAAAGGACGTGCTGGAGCACTGATCAAGGCCTTTTTTGCCACAATGACTGATTTTATACATTAGGCTTGTGTTCCTCCAGCTCATTTCTCTGTTTTGCCCATTGAGCACTATGCCCGAGAGAGATTTAACTTAGTTTGTTATGTATAGAAACGTTTAACAATGTGATTAATGTTGTGATTTTGTCTTAATTTTTATCTTTTATTATTTCTTGTCTCAATTTGAGTTTCTTGCTCATTCGTTTCTACCCATAAAAGTTGTGGTTAATAGAATATACACTTGTAATATAATACACACTTGTGAATAATTGTGAGAGGAGATGTACGTTTTGACGTCATGTTTTATTTTGTACATTTGTTATAGTTTTTGGCAAAAGAGTTAGGTAAGTAATTGCTGTTTTTTCTTTATTCTTTTTACTTTCTTTAGGTAAAAAAGGATATTTTTGTTAGTTTTTTTTTAGGCCTGGTCTTCCCCTAAAGATATATCCTTATCTCCTTTAATAAACAAACTTGTTACAATTAAATTCTCTCTGGTATTGGCTCTCTTTTCTTTTCTGTTGTGATCGACCCCAAGGCGGTCATAACACTCAGGGCTCTATTTTGACGGTCCATGCGCAGAGCGCAAAACGCAGGGCGCAAACGCTTTCAGGGTGTGTCAGAACGCATTTTTGCTAATTTAAGGACGGGAAAATCCGCTTTGCGCCGTGGCGCATGGTCTAAAAGGGTTGAGTTTATTTTCTTAATGAGTTATAGGTGTGTTTTGAGAATAAACCAATTAGAGTCTCATCTCCCATTACCTTTAAGAGCCAGCTGCGTCACGCCATAAGCGCATTTTGACGTAAAGTAAGTTCACTTTCGCTTTTGCTCTCGTGGATAGGGAAACCTTTACGCACAGACATCAGTTAGCCTATAAATAATCAATTTCGTTTAAGCGCAAAGATTTGTTTCAAAACTATTTCTAAATTCAGTTCTAATTTCCAGCAAACGAATAAATGAACAATAATAACCAAGTGTGGTCAAAATACTGAGTTATTTCCAAATACACCTGCCATGCCCGATATGGTCTAAAATTTGACAGGTGGACAAATCTAAACCCTCTAATAATAAGATTATACAAAAGCAAATTGAATGAACTGAAAAAGTCTCCCGAGATGAAGATAGTAAGCCAGTGGTTTTTAAATCTTCATGTAGGCTAGAAATTAATATGTTTTGTAATATTTTAATCATTTATATTTATTTCCTGTATAAATCCTTATTATATATATATATATATATATATATATATATATATATATATATATATATATATATATATATATCCTTAAGATATTATATATTTTTCATATGCAAAGATATTTGCGTATTGCTCTGCATCTTGGGTGTAGTGTGTAAGCCAAGCGCACTTTGCGCCAGACAATAGACCGACTTTGTTCTGGTCTAAAGATCAGACTATTTACAGTTTCTCAAAATAGCAACACGCCAAAACACGCCTGCTTTTTTAGACCAGAACACCTAAGGGCGCACATTTGGGCGCAAATGCATTTGCTATTTAAACAGTGTGGTGCGACACCTCAAAATGACCCTTGCGCCGAGCTAAAACTAGCAAAAGACTATTGCGCCGCGCCTTGCGCCACATTGCGCTAAGTGTATGATAGGGCCCTCAATCTTTTTATTGGTCTTTTGTATGATAAAAACAAATATGGCAATAGGTAAACAGTAATATATATATATATATATATATATATATATATATATATATAAAATGACTTTATATTGTCTGTTGTTAATCCCATCCCCTAACCCCTCGTTCATTAACTCAATCAACCAAACAAATAAATATATATATATCAATATGTTTAAAGTTTACTGTAAATATACATTTGTTTTGTGTCATTCCAGTTGAATTAAACAGAAATGCTTAAAATGTACCCGCAATTCCAGAATGAGTCATACATAATTTCGCAAAGTGCTGTCATACAAATTCTCCACATCACTTTGTCTAATATTATACCATGCTCAAGAGGGTTATAATAGATATGAAGAGATAAAAGGTGATGGAACAAACCTCCTCTCTAGCATCTGCTGAAGGATGTCCTGGCCTTCCTCCGTCGGCTCTACAACCACATGTTCATCACACACATTGCGGAGCTCGCTTGATGGGTACGATTTCATCGACTGACACCTCCGCCTCTGCTCCCCCGCCCGCGTCAACACACTGGTTTTCTGAAGGAGCACAAGCAACAAGAGACAGGTTTTGATTGTTGTTGTTTTTTGTATACACTCTGAAAAAAATATATTTTTGCTGCTTGTTTTGAATTACTCTTTTAATATGAGCTGAATCAACACAATTCTTCAGTTTTCTGAGACAACTTATTTGTTTTATGCTCAATCCACTTAAATGTGCAAAAACAATTAAGTCTGTGTTGGGGCAACATAAAGGAATTGTGTGGAATCCAGCACGTTTTACAGTGTAGAAACAAAGAGACAAACAATTCATTGATGTTGTCCCAACACAAAACAATGAAGTTAACCATTAACGATTTAATGGATTAAACATTAATTAAGTTGTCCCCAAAAATCTCAAGAATTGTGTTGTTTCAGCTCATTTTAAAGGTGCTGGATGCAAGTTTTGACTCTTCTTGAAGCATATAAATACTATAATATGTTGGAGATATTTAAAAAAAACATTCTTGCTTCTGCATTCTTTTGATTTGAAAATGTGCGTTACGTGCCGGAATGTCTTTGTTTTGGTCATTTAACCTACTCAATGCCAGTTTAGCCAATTATATTTTAGCGTCCCGGGTTGCCTTGGTGAAAAACCGCAGTAGGAAGGCTCTCTAAATAACCGAAATACGACCAATGTAATATAAATAAAAAGCTACAAATGAAGAGACAGCAGCACGGTAGCTCAGCGTTTAGCAGTGTCACCTCACAGCAAGAAAGTCACTGGTTCGAGCCCCAGCTAGGTCAGTTGACATTTCCGTGTGGAGTTTGCATGTTCTCCCCATGTTGGTGTGGGTTTCCTCCAGGTGCTCTGTTTCCCCCACAGTTTAAAGACATGAGCTAGGTGAATTGAATAAGCTAAATTGCCTGTAGTGCGTGTGTGTGTGTGTGTGTGTGTGTGTGTGTGTGTGTGTGTGTGTGTGAATGTGAGAGTGTATAGGTGTTTCTCAGTAATGTGTTGCTGCTGGAAGGGGATTTGCATCATAAAACATATGCCAGAATAGGAATATGGTTCTGTGGCAACTCCTGGTTATAATAAATGGACTAAGCCAAAGAAAACTGAATGAATGAAATAAAGAGACACAAAAAATAAATCATAATGTTGTAAGTCCTATTTGTAAAAAGTTTGTGTGACGTTGTTGATGTTTTCCTTATACAATATAATAAAAAAAATATTTTTAGTATAATTAAGTAACAAATAAGGTAAATGTCATATATTAATGTTAAACAGTAAAAGCATATCTGTGAATCTCCTGCATGCAAAAGTTTGTGCAACGTTGTGTAAGACAACATTGCTAACTGATGTTTTCTCAGTACAGTATGATTAAATAATTTATAATATAAGTTACAAAATAGGTAAAAGTTACAAATTAAGTAAACCTGAAGAATCAAGCCAAGGACCTGAGAATCCTTGTAGCAAACTTATTTGTGTGTTGCTCTAAGAAAGCAACCATTTATTTGTGTTTTGTTTTATTTTCATTTGTACATATTCATTTATTCTTCATTTAATTACTTTATTTAATCATATAATCATTAATCATTTATATAATTATCATCATATTATTTTATTGATTATTATTTAATGATTTAATTATTATTATTGATGATTATTTGTCAGTTGATTATGCTTTTATTCACCTTATTCTCAGCTGTCGAGCGGGCGCTGCCATTTGAATCGTTTTGTCTCGCGACTTCCGGTCACATTCACTTCCATTCATTTTTGACGTTAACAACTGCTCGTTACGCTGCTTGATGTTGCAATTTAATATTTTCTTATTATATTATGCTACTTGGTCTGTGTTGTCATGCAAACATTTGTTTGTTGAGCAAGTAGTCTGGCCATTTTCTGCCGTTTATTATTCCTAGTCATTTCTCCCATAGGTGACTGAATCGGAAGTTCTAAGACAATCGCGATTACAGGCGCACTTCCGCATTTTAGAATAAGGTCAATATTTTATTATTAATATTTTCCTATAACTATTGCTTTATTATTATTTCATTTTTCCATGATGTTATAATCTTATGACTCTGTGGATTTAAGCAACGCTTGTTTTTATGAGTGCGAAATAAAATAATGTCTCCATATCAAGGTCTGTTTTTTCACTGGACAATGTTGTTAAGCAGCAATTTTCCATTGCTGTTGCTTGAGATATAATAACACTTGTTTGATTTATCCTGGTCAGAAGAAGTCATCATATGCAGCTAAGATTATTTAATAAATTCTGCTCTTTCTTTATCATCATGACTCCATCTCGTGCTCCTCTCTAGCTTTGGGTATTGGGTGGCTCCGCTGGCTTGTTGTCTGGATACCCAGAGAGTCTGTTATATTTTCTGACAGGATCTGGCATCTAGATCTTATTTATCAGGCGTGAAGAATGTGATCTAACCAATCGTAAAAGCAATGCAGTGTTTACAGAACATTGAGTATTGTATTCTGTCATAAAGAAAACGTGGCTTTCACTGGGTAACAGTTTAGATTAGCAAACATAGTACTATTAACTATTATTATTAACTATTAAGAAGTACATTGTTGACATGTTTATTACTAGCATGCTACTGGTTTATTAGAGCATTATACACTCCTATATATCTCTGGAAAAAAATCAAGTACGTGGGCTAAGTACTAAAATAAAGCTGTGCTACTGAGCGCGGTGTATAAAAACACTAGGCCGTTTGCACCATCTTGTGGTCTACATGATGCAGTTCAGTAATGGTAGAGTTGGGGCTTTGTTTTTGTACCTTGAATTTGATATTGTTGCTTATTAGGATATTTCCCTTCATGAACTCCTTCTCGTTATCTCTGTTCTCGGTGACCACAGGGAATGCGTGATAGACGGTGGTCCTCAGGATGCTGACCAGAGACTGAATGCGAGTGTGAGGATACACATATGTCAGGTTGGGCTCCATGATATCACTGGCTGTCAGTCTGAAGAGGAACACAGAGGATTGTGTAAGAATAATTGCAATATATAAGAAAGAAAGAAAGACAAAAAGACAGAAAGACAAAAAGACAGAAAGAAAGAAAGAAAGAATGAAAGAAAGAAAAAAGAAAAGAAAGAATTAAACAAACAAATGAATGAATGAATGAATTAATGAATGAAAGAAAGAAAAAGGAAAGAAAGAAAGAAAGAAAGAAAGAAAGAAAGAAAAAAGAAAAGAAAGAAAGAAAGAATTAAACAAACAAACGAATGAATGAATGAATGAATGAATTAATGAATGAAAGAAAGAAAAAGGAAAGAAAGAAAGAAAGAAAGAGAGAAAAAAGAAAAGAAAGAAAGAATTAAACAAACAAACGAATGAATGAATGAATGAATTAATGAATGAAAGAAAGAAAAAGGAAAGAAAGAAAGAAAGAAAGAAAGAAAGAGAGAAAGAAAGAAAGAAATTTTAAACCTTATTCAACAATATTTAACATCACAAAAACATTGATCACATACAAACTATTTTTCTAATAATAAATCGAAAATTAGTTCATTCTCAATTACAGCGCAGAAAATATTATTTACATTTATTATTTATAATAATAATAATAATAATAATAATAGCAACGCATGGGGTATGGCATCATTTTGTTGAAGAGTTGGTTAAATACCAGCAAAGTAGAACACAAGCAGCTTGAAGAGGAAAGCGTGAGTATGTCTGGCGTCTTGAGGTATTATAAAGCTGATGACGACAACATTGCCATAGCAAAATGTGAGATCTGTAAACTTGGGATTGCCTGCCGGCTATTTTAAGTTGAGGTGCTGTTTGTTTTATATTAGATTTTTTTTATATTTTCTGTTGCCCTAAAGTCCAAAAGTGTAGAATTTATGTTATTTTTGACTTGATTGTTCAAGCTACCTCACAGAAGTGCTCTGCTTGTTAAAGTTGTTGAATGTTAAAATTAGGTGAATTAAATAAAAATAAGAAACACACTGGAAATGCTTCTTTGCTCTTCTTTATTCTTTTTTTAATGTATCATAGAAGTATCGGATCGGGTTTCGGTATCGGTAGATACTCAAAAATCAAATGAATCGACCTCTGCAAAAACACCTGATCAGGACATCCCTAAAATTAATACATATTAAACCTCTTTAACTATATTAAAAGTACAGTATATACTCAGGAGTGACTGATATTTATTGGTTTGCACTGAGTCAGTTCTAACGTTCATTTTCAAACTATGGGCCCCATTATAGACCCGACGCAATAAGGCACATACCATCATCATTTTTACGTTTTGTACCAAACTGTTTAAATAGCAAATGCATTCATGCTACTTTGTGGACTTATGGGTGTGCTGGTCTGAAAAGGAAGTGTGTTAAGGTGCATTGTTGGCGTGTTGCTATTTTGAGGAACTAAAATAGACTGCGCCATTGACCTACTAAAAGCTGGTCTAAAGTCAAGCGCAGAACACAGAAGTTATGCGCCTATGCAGGTTCAAACAATAACACATTGCTTAATACACGCAGGATGTACGGCAATACACAAATATCTTTACATATGAAACAAAAATTAACGGATTAAAATGTTACAAAAACAATTAATTACTACAAAAATAAACCACTGCCTCCATGCCTTCTTCACCTCGGGGGGATTTTTTCAGTTGACTCATGACAATTTGCATTTGTATGATGTTTTTATTAGTAGTATTATTCATCATATGCATATTTATATTTGTTTTATTAAAAACAAGTTTAGATTTGTTCACCAGTCGAGTTTTGGGTATGTCTGCATCACCATATGGGGCATAAACAGGACCTGTGTTTGGATATAACTCAGTTTTCTGACCACACTTCGCTATTATTGTTCATTTATTAGTTTGCTGGAAACAACTGAACAAACGAAATTAAATATGTAGGCTAATGGATGTCTTCAGTGGAGTGAGTTCCCACCGTTTCCTTACTCCATGAAAGAAAGGAGTAAAGAGTAAAGCAAAGTAAAGAGAAAGTAAAGAGGCTGAAAGGAGGGGGCTCATATTTTATCCTCGAACTGCAGATGGTCTGTTTATCTGTTTACAGTTTAATGTGACAGATGAAAAAAGACGCTCACTTGTCCATCTCCACTTCAGTTTCCCACTCCAGCAGAGGAACTCCTTTCAGGTGAATGTGAATATCATATATTCCCCTATTAAAGAAATCTCCTGTCCATTTGGCCACCTGATAAAACATAACACCAATTAGAAATGCATATTTCACCGTCAAGTACACACTCACCAGCTACTTTATTAGGCACCGGGTTGGACACCTTTTTGCCATCAGAACTGCCTTAACTCTTCATGGCACAGATTCAACAAGGTACTGGAAATATTCCCATATTGACATGATAGCATTACACAGTTGCTGTAGATTTGTCGGCTGCACATTAATGATGCGAATCTCCCATTCCACCATATCCTAAAGGTGCTCTATTGGATTGAGTTCTGGTGACTGTGGAGGCCATTTGAGTACAGTAAACTCATTGTCATGTTCAAGAAAGGATGGATCCATGCTTTCATGATGTTGATGCCAAACTCTGACCCGACCATCCGAATGTTGCAGCAGAAATAAAGACTCATCAGATCAGGGAAAGTTTTTCCATTCTTCTATTCTACAATTTTGGTGAGCCTGTGTAAATTGTAGCCTCAGTTTCCTGTTCTTAGCTGACAGGAGTGGCACCTGGTGTGGTCTTCTGCTGCTGTAGCCCATCCGCCTCAAGGTTGGACATGTTGTGCGTTCAGAGATGCTCTTCTGCAGACCTCGGTTGTAACGAGTGGTTATTTAGGTTAGGTTACTGTTGTTGCCTTTGTATCAGCTCAAAACAGTCTGGCCATTCTCCTCTGACATCAACAAAGCATATGTGCCCACAGAACTGCCACTCACTGGATATCGTTTCTTTTTCTGACCTTTCTCTGTAAACCCTAGAGATGGTTGTTTGTGAAAATCCTAGTAGATCAGAAGTTTCTGAAATACTCAGACCAGCCCATCTGGCAGCAACAACCATGCCACGTTCAAAGTCACTTAAATTACCTTTCTTCCACATTTTGATGCTCGGTTTGAACTGCACCAGATCGTCTTGACCATGTCTACATGCCTAAATGCATTGAGTTGCTGCCATGTGATTGGCTGATTAGAAATTTGCGTTAATGAGCAGTTAGACAGGTGTACCTAATAAAGTGGCCGGTGAGTGTGAGACCTTATTGGTAACTTTTTAATAATATTATATCAAACATCATACAAAGTACAAATATTTAAATATCTTCTGGAACCTTCTTTATTTGTAGCTTTTAATTATAGTATCATAAGAAAACGTCAATAAAGGACACAGTTTGACACAATGTTGACACAAATTGGCCCCTCTAAAGTAATTAATACTATGCAAATGCCCAAAATGAAGATTTCCCATACATATAAACGTTTTTTAAAACGTTATTACAAGGATTACTGTTTTCCTACCATTAGTGTTATCATAATGGGAAGTCCATAAGTGATCTCGTTGGTTGATTCGATTAAGATGACTGTCAGGCTGATGGTCATTCTGACCACACCTCCGAGGAATGCAGCTGCTCCAATCAAAGCAAAGGTCCCCGAATAGATTTGCATGTGGAAGTTTCTGCAATTAAACAACATTTTAAGAGTAAGGGAAAATACTTTAATAGAAAAAAAACTTGTATGATGATGGATGCATTTGAATCACTGCTCAATGAAGCTTCAAAATTGTTATAAATCAGTTGTTTTGGAACAAGTATCTAATTTAAGTATGATGTGATGTCAAAAAAAAAGATTCAGCTATTTAGGCAGAAGTAACAAACTGCAAGCTTTGGAGGTTTATTAGAGGTTTTGGAGCACACTAGCTTAAAGATATGCTTAGGACTAACATGTAACTGATATTAACATCTAAAAAAACAATATTTTAACTTCATAAGGACCTTAAAAATTTAAAGGTTGAGTAGTTTTAAGTAGTTCTAAGCTTTAAGTATCTTTAAGTTTAAAAGAAGCTTTATGTGTGAAAGTAGTTTTAAGTAGTTCTAAGTTTTAATTAGCTTTAAATTTAAAAGCGGTTTTAGGTAGTTTTAAGTAGCTTAAAATTGAAAAGGTTTATGTTTAAAACAGTTTAGGTAGCTTAAAACTTTAAACTACATTTAAACTTGAAGTAGTTCTACGATTTACAGTTTTTTACAATTGCTATGACACTTTTATCAATACATTTAACAAGTTTCCTAAACTCTTAACACAGTTAGCACAACATCCGTCTTGGTGGGCTATACAATTAACACATTTCTTGTTGTTTTGACACAAAATGCATCCAGTTAACACAAATTTGAAATGCTTTAACTTCTTTTACACACAAGCACAACCAAGAACAAAACAATTTAATTTTACAGTCAAATTTACAAATGCTTTAACACAGTATGTCAGAACAGATAACACCATGTTCTAAACAGAACTTATATAGGATAAAGTCAAAGTGAACAGCTGTTCTAATTGTGAATTATAACACAAATATATTCCCTGTATTTTATTCAATTGCCAATGAGAAACAGCATATTGCGGTTATATAAATAAATAAATAAATGTATATATATATATATATATATATATATATATATATATATATGACAGCTGATTCCCATCTAGAAAGCACACTCATGTCTTGTTTTGGTTTTTCCAATCACATGATCATATGTTCTAATAGAGGACTCTTGAGGTTTTTGAAAGGAACAGTGAGCGCATCAAAGAACTCTGTCACCAATACGTCCATGTAAGATTATGCAATACAGTCATTACTGTACTATACACAGTGTGTTTTGCAGTAAACTACTCTTTAAACGTGGAGTTCATTAGAACATACAGTACATATACAGTACAGCATTTGCATACACTGTGTCTAATTACTTTCAGAGAGTCATGAAGTTGGAGGCCAATCAAGTACCACATGAAATTTTCAATGTTGACAAAGCTGGGGATGTCGCCGTAGGAAAAACATAATAGGCCAAAGGGCCACAGTTACCGTGCAGGGCCACACAAGATATCAAGTATAATGTGGATGAGATCATGTGGCAAGAATAGAAGATTACTTTGTTATTTTATTATAATTGTGGTGCTTTTCCTGTTTGCAGTGATGTCCTTCTGCAAAAAAAGTCTTTACTGCAGCAATTCTGTGTCTGTATTTTTTTTACATAAACTGTAAATTTTATAAAGCAATTTTTTGTCTTCGTTTTATATAGAATTTTTGCAGTAAAAGAAAGAAAATGCCTGCATTTACTAAACCCAACGAAACAAAACTGTAGAGAGACTTCAAATATAAGGGCAGAGCTGACACATAAACTAATGCAGTTTCTGTAATGTCAGCTGATGATAGTGTTTTTATTGTCAGTGTGTTCTGATTGACTGAATGTTTATGTTGGAAGAGAACATGTGTTTGTGTTTTGAACAATAATTTAATTTTGAAACATGTTTACAGTGTTTTGTTAGACATGGTGTAGTGTGTTCGTTTATTATAGTATTTTGAAAAGTAGTTTAGAGGTTTAGTTTATAATGTGTGATTTTGAGCATGAAATTAACTGTTTTGCCAATTGTGTGTTTTAGGTGTGTTGCTGCGTTAAGAGTTTAGCAAACTTGTTAAATGTATTGAAAAAAGTGTCATAGCCATTGTAAAAAACTGTAAGTTTAAAGTTTAAAAGGTTTTCGTTTAAAACAGTTTTAAGTTGCATTAAGTTTACCAGTAGTTTTAAGTAGTTCTAAGTTTTAAGTAGCTTCAAGTTTTAAAGTAGTTTTATGTTTAAAAGTATTTAAGTAGTTCTAATTTTTAAGTAGCTTAAAGTTTAAACAGTCAAGTAGTTAAAATTTAAGTTAAGTTATTTAATGTTTGAAAGGTTTGAGTTTAAAATAGTTTTAAGTAGCTTCAAGTTTAACAATAGTTTAAAGTTTTAAGTATTTCTAAGTACCTTAAAGATTAATAAATGATTTTAATTTCCTTTTTGGCTTAGTCCTTTTATTAATCAGGGGTCACCACAGCGGAATGAACCGCCAACTTATCCGCATGTTTTACACAGCGGATGCCCTTCCAGCTACAACCCATCACTGGGAAACACCTACACACATACACTATAGACAATTTAGCTTACCCAATACACCTATAGCGCATGTCTTTGGACTTGTGGGGGAAACCGGAGCACCCTAAGGAAACCCACACTAACACAAGGAGAACATGCAAACTGTTGGCGATCTGCTGTGAGGCGATCGTGCTACCCACTGCATCACTGTGATGCCCTAAGATTAAAATCACTGAACAGATTTAATTGGTTTTACCTGATTGTTTACATTTGTAGCATGAAAAGAAATTATAGTAATTAATAATCTCTTGTTGGCCTGTTTAGCAGAGCCCACAATAGATATGTGCATTTATATGTTAAGCTTTCAAATCAAAGTTTCTCCCTCACTTTCGTCAAATTGTGCCATCATTAGTACCACTAATGACATTGTTAACAGGAATTCATCTTACATTTTTAGGACATTGGCTAAAAGGCGTCCCAGTGAAGCTCCGCAGAGAAGTGAAGGGACAAACAGACCACTTGGGACGGACACGCCATACGTCCAGCAGCTCAGGAAAAAATACAGCACAAAGAACAGGGAGAGCGTGACCGGACTAAAAGTAGCTGTGCGGATAAAACAGACAAAGAGGAGGAAAAGAGAAGTGTTAACTTGATTTCTGCAGAGAACACACTGCAAAAAATGCTTTTCTTAGATGTTTTGGCTTGTTTCTAGTCCTAATATCTAAACCTTCTTATATCAAGAAGCATTTTCTAGGCCAGCAAAACATATCGTCTTGTTTTCGGAAATAATATGCCAAAATCAAGTACGTTTTTATTTAAAACAAGCAAAATAATCTGACAGTAGGGTAAGCAAAATAATCTCGTTTTTCCTTTCTACATAAGATAATTTTCTTACCCCATTGGTAGATTATTTTGCTCGTTTATAGGAAAAACTCACTTTATTTTGACATATTTTGGCAGCATTGAAGAGGTTGGGGTGTATATTCATTCAATAAAATGTCAATGTCAATTTGGATTGAAATGATTGAAATGATTATTGTTTCACACACTTTCTTCTTGTTGTATAAAAGAAAGCACACGTCTTTCCCTTACGGCAGTGTGGTTTTGCCCGTTTAAAAAAAGTTGTGGAAGCACACGATTACTGCTTTTATTTATTTTTAACCAATTGATACTAATACATTACTTTTATTTACATATTTAAATTAGAAATTAGATCTGCTTACTGCTCGTTAGAGTAGGCTGTGTGTGTCAGAGAAACAAGTGATTAAACTATACCTGTCAACATTGGGATATAAAAACACGAGATATGCCCCCAACAACCGTTACAAGTATGGGAAGGAAAATAACCTCAAATGATAGAATACGTAACAAACATTAGAAAAATGAAAATAAAATAAAAAGTTTAGCCTATTAAAATCAATTTCCTGATCACATCGTTGTTATTGTAAGCGTCACAGGTTTAAAAGTGCGTTCATTTTTTATACTTGAATTATTCATCAATTCCTCTGCGTACCACTAGAAGGAAGCCTGTGTACCACTTGTGGTACATGTACCACAGTTTGAGAACCACTGGCTTACAGAGATACGTCACCAGTAGGGTTGTAACAATATACTGGTATGACGGTTTACCACGATTTGAACGTGCACGATTATCATACCATGAACAATTGCATATCAATGGTTTTAACCCTTAAAGACTGAGACAGCCGCCGGCGGCTAAAAATAAGTATTGCTCTTAAATGTTTAATAACTTTTGATCCGCTGATCCGATTCATACAATTCAAAGATTGGCATAAAGAAGAGAATCTCAGCTTTCCAGTGCTGTATCACATAACATTCAGTTCTGTATCACAAGACTTTCAGAGGCTCCGGAATCAGTGCGTTTACGTCATCAAAATTTGACAACGCTGATTTGACAAAGAAACGCTCGTCACTGTGTCTCTGGACAAACCAGACATGATATATTGATGCATTGTCCCTCCTCCATGCCCAGATTGGTTCAAACTCGCTATATCACAACCAATAAGCATAGGTTTCGCTTTTGTTTGTGGAGCAACAACGAGCTTTTTGAACAACATGGAATAAGAGATTACATACATTCAAAACGCAAAAAAAAAGTTTTGCATGAAATAATTCTCATACTAAGTACTTTTGCATGCACAGCAGCACAGAAACATGACAAAACAGTGACACAGCAAAGACGAACTGCGGCTCTTGCTGTTTTCAAAAGACGCAAATGAAGGTGCAGCTGTTTGTCTGCATTGCAGACAACCATATCCAAATCCATATCCACAGACAACCATATCCATGCTGGCACATAAAACCTGAGGATGTTCCATATTGAATCTAGTTTCGTTATGTAACTATTTATAGTATAGTAAATATTTATATCTATTTTTTTACTGAGGATTTGCACCATGTTTATTTGGACTTTATTTGGACTTTGACACATTATTTATTATTTTATTATTTTTTTATTTGTTCATTGTAAGTGGTGTTGTTTATAGTAACTGAAAATATATTATTTGGAAAAAGTCAAATTTGCTTCACTGTTCTATTATTTTGTAACATTTGTAACATACCGTATACCGCGAAACCGTCAAACCGTGGTATTGTTTTAGACGATTATCATACCGTAAAAAATTCATACCGTTACAACCCTAGTCACCAGCACGTACACAAGCAGAAGAATGAAAACAAAGGAAGTGCCATTTTTAAATACACAGCCAAGTACATCGTATTAATATATACATATAATAACAAGCCATGGTCGACCCGAGCTTGAACCAACCTTATTGTCGTCTTTGCAAACAGCCACAAAGCCAAGAGCTCAAGCAGAATCTATCCTGTTCCCCGTAGTTTTTTACAAAATCGTCTAAAGCGTGAGCGGTTTTGCTTTCTCGAGTGCCTTCGCCGCACGTCTATTTGTGTATAAAGCATCTGTTTTGTGAGAAGAACTTCTCATATGATATGTGAACAACCCGTACTGCTTTACTGTAGACATTTTCTCAAGTGTGAATGACGTAGACTGAAACTTTCTGTTGTATACCATTGAAACGGTTTTGGCAGTGGAAATGCAAGCCTGATATAGGTGACCTGTACCGACCCGTACTGTACTGTACCATTAAACTAAAGTGGGTCACACTGTACACTAATGTTCATTAGTTATGTTAAGTAATGCATTTACTAACATGAACAAACAATGAACAATACATTTACTTCAATATTTATTCATGTTATTTAACGTTAGTTAATGAAAATACAGTTGTTCATTGTTAGTTCATGTTAACTCATGGTGCATTAACTAATGTTAACAAGCATGGACTTGAATGTTAATAACGCATTAGTAAATGTTCAATTATGATTAATAAATGCTGTACAAGTGTTGTTCATGATTAGTTCATGTTAGTAAATGCATTAACTACTGAACCTTATTGTAAAGTGTTACCCTAAAGTGCAATACTGAAATTCCTTAAATGCCTAGAAAAAATATAGGCTGATGGAAAAAACAGCAGGGTTGCTAAAGCAAAGCACTTATACATCACTTATACTCAATAAAGCTCATACAGTACACTGATGCATAGGATGTTTTTACCATTCTGATGAAAGAGCTGGTGAATTGCCACTTCTTGAGGGTTGAAGAAAAGGGTTGCCATGTCATTATACGTGTTGTTGTAACAGAAGAATCGGCGTATGGTTGAGTTGACCTCTTCATTTACAGACCCCTACAAAACACACCATTACTGCACCTACAGTATACAGCAACTGATGAATACTGCAAAGTAAAAAAGGTAACACTTTACAATAATGTTGTATTAGCTAATGTTAATTGAATTAATGGGCCATATTGCAAAAAAAAAAAAAAAATTAGCACGATATCATGTTTTATATCATTAAATATTTTCATATATCGAATATTTTTTAACAATATATAGAAATATTTGCATTTTTTTTTATTTAACCACTTAATTTTAATTTAAAAACATTACTAAGGCAAATAGTTTTTATAGTAAAAAAACAAAAAAATTAAACAAAATATCTGATCTCTTTATAATAAAATGAATGAGTGTTAAATAGACTCTTAAACTTGATAAATAAAATATTACAAAGTGTGTGCAATGGTAAAGATAGATGTGAACTCTGTAAATAGTATAACAGTCTGTTCTTTAAACCAGAACAAAGCTGGTCTATTGTCCAGCGCAGATCGCGTTAGTTGTGCGCCTCGCTTACACACTGCTCAATACACACAAGATGTAGAGCGCAAATATCTTTACATATGAAAAAGAGTTAAAATATTAAGGATATATATAGGATATAAATAAAAAGGACTAAAATATTACAAAACTTCTAGCCTATATAAACATAAAAACCCCTGCCTTCATGCCTTCTTCATCTCGGGAGGCTTTTTCAGTTCATTCAGTTTGCTTTTGTATATTGTTATTAATATTAGCAGTATTATTTATTATATCCATATTTATATTTGTTTTATTAAAAAAAGCTTAGATTTGTCCACCTGTCAGGTTTTAGACCATATGGGGCACAGCATGTGTATTAGGATATAACTCAGGTTTTTGAACACACTTCGTTATTATTGTTCATTTATTCATTTGCTGTAAATTAGAACTGAATTTATAAATAGTTTTGAAACAAATATGTGAGCTTAATGTTAATTGAATTAATGGGCCATATTGCAAAAAAAAAAAAAAATTAGCACGATATCATGTTTTATATCATTATATATTTTCATATATCGAATATTTTTTAACAATATATAGAAATATTAGCATTTTTTCATTTAACCACTTAATTTTAATTTAAAAACACTACTAAGGCAAATAGTTTTTATAGTAAAAAAACAAAAAAATTAAACAAAATATCTGATCTCTTTATAATAAAATGAATATAAGTGTTAAATAGACTCTTAAACTTGACAAATAAAATATTACAAAGTGTGTGCAATGGTAAAGATAGATGTAAACTCTGTAAATAGTATAATAGTCTGTTCTTTAGACCAGAACAAAGCTGGTCTATTGCCCAGCGCAGAGCGCGTTAGTTGTGCGCCTCGCTTACACACTGCTCAATACACACAAGATGTAGTGCGCAAATATCTTTACATATGAAAAAGAGTTAAAATATTAAGGATATATATATAGGATATAAATATAAAAGACTAAAATATTACAAAACTTCTAGCCTATATAAATATAAAAACCCCTGCCTTCATGCCTTCTTCATCTCGGGAGGCTTTTTCAGTTCATTCAGTTTGCTTTTGTATATTGTTATTAATATTAGCAGTATTATTTATTATATCCATATTTATATTTGTTTTATTAAAAAAAGCTTAGATTTGCCCACCTGTCAGGTTTTAGACCATATGGGGCACAGCATGTGTATTAGGATATAACTCAGGTTTTTGAGCACACTTCATATTATTGTTCATTTATTCGTTTGCTGTAAATTAGAACTGAATTTATAAATAGTTTTGAAACAAATATGTGAGCTTAATGTTAATTGAATTAATGGGCCATATTGCAAAAAAAAAATAAATTAGCACGATATCATGTTTTATATCATTATATATTTTCATATATCGAATATTTTTTAACAATATATAGAAATATTAGCATTTTTTCATTTAACCACTTAATTTTAATTTAAAAACACTACTAAGGCAAATAGTTTTTATAGTAAAAAAACAAAAAAATTAAACAAAATATCTGATCTCTTTATAATAAAATGAATATAAGTGTTACATAGACTCTTAAACTTGACAAATAAAATATTACAAAGTGTGTGCAATGGTAAAGATAGATGTAAACTCTGTAAATAGTATAATAGTCTGTTCTTTAGACCAGAACAAAGCTGGTCTATTGCCCAGCGCAGAGCGCGTTAGTTGTGCGCCTCGCTTACACACTGCTCAATACACACAAGATGTAGTGCGCAAATATCTTTACATATGAAAAAGAGTTAAAATATTAAGGATATATATAGGATATAAATAAAAAGGACTAAAATATTACAAAACTTCTAGCCTATATAAATATAAAAACCCCTGCCTTCATGCCTTCTTCATCTCGGGAGGCTTTTTCAGTTCATTCAGTTTGCTTTTGTATATTGTTATTAATATTAGCAGTATTATTTATTATATCCATATTTATATTTGTTTTATTAAAAAAAGCTTAGATTTGCCCACCTGTCAGGTTTTAGACCATATGGGGCACAGCATGTGTATTAGGATATAACTCAGGTTTTTGAGCACACTTCATATTATTGTTCATTTATTCGTTTGCTGTAAATTAGAACTGAATTTATAAATAGTTTTGAAACAAATATGTGAGCTTAACAAACTAAATTAATTATTTATAGGCTTATTGATGTCTGTGCATACAAGGTTCCACAAGCGAAAGTGGAAGTTAATAATTTGTCTCTCATTCTCGCTCTGTAGATGCTCTGTTTAACTGTTTTCTTGCCAGTGAAATGCTCAGTTTTTCCACTTACACTTACTTTACGTCATGTAAATAACAAATTTGCCATGGCGCGACGCAGCTGGCTCTTAAAGGGAATGAGAGATGAGACTCTGATTGGTTTATTCTAAAAACACATATCAAGGCTCAACAATAAGGACTGCCCAGTGGCCCAGGGCCAGCTTGAGAGACACTTGGGACAGTAGACCGGATCATTACTGGCCCGATTGGGACAGTGCTGCCTTGTCACTAACATTTAATTTGTCTGTGACTATTTGTCAATTGAGTTTGTGCTTTTAAGTTTTTAAACACTACCTTCTCTGTTATGTCGTAAACACCATATTGCTTTCCAGTTCCTCTTATTGGATTGACCATGATATTTTTTTTCTGTAACCTGGTAAAAACCAGTCCAGCGAAGAAACGGCAACATGGAGGCAACATCAAATTATAAGGCTAAAAGAAAATGTCTGTTTCTAACGTCTTGGAAGTAGACATTTACGTCTGACTAACAGAACAAAATAAAAATGTGATATTTTGCACAGTTTGCGGCCAGTTTGACAAGTCAGCCACCTTTTTATAACATTTTCTGTACTGCTCTTTTTGTTTGCATAACACTTTTATTTACAATTTATTTTATATATTAAAATTCTAGATTCACAGACTTTATTTTTGACACATTATTTAAAATGTGGCAAAAAAATAGCTATTAACTTCCTTTTTTTTTTTTTGGTGGGGCCAGTGAAAATTTTGGCAGGGCAAGTAAAAATCTGAACCACTTGCCCGATCGGACCAGTAGAAAAAATCCATAGCGTTGAACCCTGCATATATAATTCATTAGGAAAATAAACTCAACCCTTTTAGACCATGCGCCACGGTGCAAAGCAGATTTTCCCGTCCTTATATTAGCAAAAGTGGATTCTGACACGTCCTGAAGCGTTGGTGCCCTGCGCTTTGCGCATGGACTATCAAAATAGAGCTCTTTAACTTATTGAACCAATGCAGTATATGATGGCAGTTTTTAAAAAAAGTAAAGAAGCAGATGTCAGTCTGACCTGTGTTGAAGTGTTGTTATTCACGTTGGAGACCAAATCTCGACACTCTCCCAGAGTCATTGAAGACATGAAGATCACTAGTGTGGTCACCATACATACCAACAGACTCTCCAACACCCTGCCAAAAATAAAAGAAATTAGGTCGTATCCGATTAATTCAATTTTAAAAGTATTTTCTGTGTAGTTTTATTCAGTATAAGATGTTTCTGAAGTACCTGATGAATCTTGCTTTGGGATGGACGTTTCTCATGCGGTATTTGGCAAGCCGTTTGTTGATGCAGTTGAACAGAGCACCGAGCAGACCTCCTGCCACCCCCATCAACACAAAAAATGCCAGATCTACTGCTGTCCACAGATGACAGGCCTTATCTCCATCTGGACACTGCAGACAGCAAAGATAAACAATGGAGGCATGTATATTTACAACCTGCTTTAGTTTGTTCAGATGTTCAGATGCGAAAGCTGCTAAACGTCACTTCCGCCAAAAATGAGCTAATGGCATTGAGCGAATGCTTTAGGCACGTAGCACATGTTTAACAGATATATTTGCTTCAAATCATCCAAATCCCAGCGTCAGCGCATTCAGAAGTAACAGTTTGTTTGCAAAAGCTTCTAAACGCCATTTGCCTTTGACAGAAAAAGCCGCTATGTCCACAGAACATCAGAAATCAGAATCAGAAAACATGAATCAAAATATATGTTTTTAATGTAACTGTGCGCTGATACGCCCGCTTTTATGAGGGGCTTTTTTTCTGCTTCAGATTTGGATTTTAAAAGATGGGGGGCTACTGACGCAGGTGGGCTAATAATTCTGACTTCAACTGTATGTGCTTAGAAGCCAGGATTTGTAGCTGCATTTAAAAACCACTTACTAACATCTATTAATGTAAAGTTAATGCTTAACATATAATGATTTAACTATTTGTTAATGCTTAATAAATGATTTATAGGGCCCTATCATACACCCGGCGCAGTGTGACGTGGCGCAATAGTCTTTTGGTAGTTTCAGCTTGGCGCAAGAGTCGTTTTGAGGCGTTGCGCTACGCTGTTTAAATAGCAAATGCATTAGCGCTCATATGTGCACCCATAGGCGTTCTGGTCTAAAAAGAAAGGCGTTCTAAGGCGCACTGCTGGCGCGTCACTATTTTGAGAAACTATAATAGATTTTTCATTAGACCAAAACTAACCCGGTCTAAACTCCGGCGCAGAGTTGCGCCTCGCTTACGCACTGCTTAATACGCAAAAGAGAGCAATAGACAAATATCTTTACATATGAAAAAAAATTAATATTAAGGATGTATATAGGATATATTAAGAATAGATATAGGATATAAATATAAAGGATTAAAATATTACAAAACATATTATTTTCTAGCCTACATAAATATGAAAAATCACTGCTTTTATGTCTTCATCTCGGGAGGCTTTTTCAGTTCATTCATAACAATTTGCTTTTGTATAATGTTATTATTATTATTAGCAGTATTATTTATTATATCCATATTTATATTTGTTTTATTAAAAACAAGCTTAGATTTGCCCACCTGTCAGGTTTTAGACCATATGGGGCATGGCAGGTGTATTTGGAAATAACTCAGTATTATGACCACACTTGGTCATTATTGTTTATTTATTCATTTGCTAGAAATTAGAACTGAATTTAGAAATAGTTTTGAAACAAATTTTTGTGCTTGACAATCGAAATTAATTATTTATAGACTAATTGATGTCTGTGCGTAAAGGTTTCCCTATCCAAGAGCGAATGTGAAAGTAGTTCCATTATCTCTCTTTCTCACGCAGTAGATGCTCTGTTTAACAATTTTCTGATAATAAAACTGTTAACTGTTTGCTTGTGAAATGCTCATTTTTTCCACTTAGACTTACTTTGCGTCTTGTAAATAGCGAATGCGCTCTTGGCGCGACGCAGCTGGGTCTTAAAGGGAATGGGAGATGAGACTCTAATTGGTTTATTCTCAAAACACACCTATAACTCATTAAGAAAATAAACTCAACCCTTTTAGCCAATGCGCCTTAGCGCAAAGCAGGTTTTCCCGTCCGTAAATTAGCAAAAATGCGTTCTGACACACCCTGAAAGCGCTTGCGCCCTGCGTTTTGCGCTCTGCGCATGGACCGTCAAAATAGAGCCCATAGTGTGTAAGTGTTACCAAAACTTTGCACAAATTTAGGTGGATTAACATATAACAATTAAGTTGACTTTGTTGATTCCGCTCATTTTAAATGAGTCGTTTGAACAAGCAGTAAAAGTCATTTTTGAGTGTGTGTACCATTACAACCAGCTAATTTACATAATTTAAATACGTTTTTATGTTTTAATCACCTTGAACTCTCCGAAGTTGAGTAGGCCGGGCAGCTGGAATGACCCCCATTTACTGAAGTTGATCCCAGAACGAAAGAAGTTGAGTGTAAAAGTGGCAGACATGGAGCAGAACAACTTTAAGACAAAAGAGAGACGACGCATTAAGGTTCAGTTGCATTTTCTGTGTACAAACTAAATGCTGCAAACATTCACATACCACTTTCCATGTGAGAGCCTGGTTCCAGAAGGACGACCCCTCCTCCAGACTGAAGAGCGTGCCCCCTATTGGTGCCCCGAAGGCAGCTGCAACTCCTGCTGCTGCCCCCGCAGAGACAAAATCCCTTTTGTCCCTTAAAAGACAAACATTACACATCACTTTACAAATTCTAAATTTTCCCATTTACCTACACACATCTATAGTGCTGTGTTTGTTTCAGCAGAGCACAATACTCTAAAGATATCAAATAAATGATCATATCAATATATTTAAATAAATAAAAATATAACATCATATATATATATATATATATATATATATATATATATATATATATATATATATATATATATATATATATATAACATAATTGTGATAATATTGTGAAAGTTTTTTTTATTTAGCTTTTGCTGTTACTAAATGTGTTTTTTGCCATTTCATTTGTTTATCCACTGTACCTGTAGAATCTATTATTTTGTAAAATTATTAATAATGTCTAAACATTTATGATTTGTAAAATGTTCATTTTTATTTTGCTTTAGTTATTTAAGTTAGACTTTAACTAAATTAAAAGGGAAACATTTCCTTAGCAGCTACCAGAAATATAGAAAGTTTCTACTGGATTATTGAATTATTACCATTGTATACATATCACGTACTGCAAATTTTCCTACAAAACAATTTATGTACGTATGTATTTATTTTTCAGTTTATGTATTTATTTTTTTATCTCTTTAATTGTCTGTTTGTTTGTTTGTTTATGCATGTATTTACTTATTTATTTGTCTGTTTAAGCATTTTTATCTTTTTGATTTTTGTTTTTTATTTATTTATTTGTTTAACTTTTCATTTAATAATATTTTTATTTATTTATTTATTTATGTATTTATTTAATGAATTCATGTATCGGTTTTTCTGTTTATTCATTTATTATTTTTCTGTTTTTCAATTTTTATTTGTTCAATTATCTGTTTGTTTTTTTGCTTTTTATTTATTTGTTTAACTTTATTTAATTGTCTGTTTTATTGATTTATTTGTCAGTTTAATTATTTACTTATCTGTTTGTTTTTGTATTTATTTATTCTAATTATGCATTTAAATATATTAAGTGTAATACTAGCAAAATAACTAGTAAAATATTATGTAGTGTCATCGGGCAAAAACATTTGAGATTATCATCTCATTTCACAAGTGACCTTGAGTTAAACAGTTGATTTTTAGCATCCCACGCCTTTGTCTTTGTTTATGTATTTATTTATTTGTCTGTTTGTTTATTTTTTTTAATTTATGTATTTATTTATTAGTTTAATTTTTCTGCTTTATTATTAATCTCTTCATTTATTTGTCTGTTTGTTTATTTGTGTATTTATTTATTCTAATTAAGCATTTACATTTCTTTTTAAGTGTAATACAAGCAAAATAACTACTAAAATAGCATGTACTGTCATCAGGGCAAAGATAAATGAGATTATTATGTCATTTTACCAGTGACCTTGATTTAAATAGTTGAGTTTTGCCACTTTTGAATCCATTCAGCTGATATCCACAAGCACTTTTAGCTTAGCATAGATCACTGAAAATAATAAGACCATTAGGATCTCACTCTTTATCTGTCTGTTTGTTTATTTATGTATTTATTTATTTGTCTGTTTGTTTGTTTATTGATCTGTTCATTTATTTTCTGCTTTCATTTATTTATCTCTTTATTTATTAGTCTATTTATCTGTCTGTTTGTTTATTTAAGTATTTATTTATTTTTTAGTCTGTTTGTTTGTTTGTTTGTTTATTTATTAATGCCTGTTTGTTTGTTTTAATGTCATACCAGCAGCATTGGCTATATTCATGACAACATTGGTAACGCATATTAAACACATCTTTTTCAGACATAAAGGTTTCTTAAACAAGCATCGTATAACAATATTGATAAAAGGTCAAATAAGGTCTTTAACGTTAGTCAGTGATAAACATTCAAATATTATTCCAGAAGATACCTATTTAACATTTCTCTTAAAATAGTTTTCTCTGAATAAAAAAACATTCACTAATTTTGTTTAAAATAGGTTTTACATTGAAAACATTTTTTTTTTGGTTTTGTATTATTTTTATTTGTATTAAAAATGCACCACATCACTAAAAATAAAAAGTGACTGAAAGCCCAGTCAGTTCTGTTTTATGTTCACTTTTGCACAGCATAACTGATTAGAGGCTGGATGTAGTGATGCTTTGCTAACCTGTCACTGCGGAAATAAGGGAAATGAAAGCGGATCTTCTTGAAGGTGATGCTCTGAAACTAACCAGACAGACAAGCAGGTATTTAATAGACCATGACAGAAAAGATGATGCAGAAATGACTAAAGACAACACAAAATACTGTCATCTTAACATTCATTGAGGTTAATGATTATTGAAATCTGTCATGATCATATTAAAAACATATCAAGCTGTACCTGAGGAAGTCCCGCCCCTACTATTGCTCCACTGTGAATCATTGGTCCTTCCTTCCCAACAAACAATCCTGAAACAAAAAGACAAACACTTTTTAGAATTGACTTGTTTGTAGTGCTAATTTATAGGGGTGTTAAAATTAATTGTTTCTTTGGTGCACCGCAATGCAGACACAAACAATTCTGTATCGGTTCAGTAATAATTTTGGCCATTTAACATCAGTGTCACTGTTTGCTGAACAGTGCCAGACCCGCACTGAACATCAATTGCAGCCTTTTCCGTTGAGCACACGATCAATCATAGACATTTAAAGACTCACTCAGTAGTGCTCAAAAAGCAAGCAGGACAAAATTTACATTTGTTTGTTTGCTATAAATGCTGCTGCTGTTCTATGCATGTACTTTTGTTTGATACATTCAAAAAGAGTTTTCTTTGAGCAGGTAAAATTAAAGGTACAGTTCATATATCTGACTGCTTGTATTACAGAACAAAATTGTTTTTCGAAGAATATATAGACGACGTAGTGGCGCAGTAGGTAGTGCTGTCGCCTCACAGCAAGAAGGTCGCTGGGTGGCTGGTTCGATCCTCGGCTCAGTTGGCGTTTCTGTGTGGAGTTTGCATGTTCTCCCTGCGTTCACGTGGGTTTCCTCTGGGTGCTCCGGTTTCCCCCACAGTCCAAAGACATGCGGTACAGGTGAATTTGGTAGGCTAAATTGTCCGTAGTGTGTGTGGGAATGTGTGTGTGGATGTTTCCCAGAGATGGGTTGCAGCTGGAAGGGCATCTGCTGTGTAAAAATGTGCTGGATAAGTTGCCAGTTCATTCCGCTGTGGTGACCCCACATTAATTAAGGGACAATGCAGACAAGAAAATGAATGAATGAAATAATATATAGATATACAGTAAATCTACTTATAAATGATCGATTTTAATACAAAAATGATTGTGTTGCTAAGTAAAATATGACATTTTGCATGGAAAGCATCGTTATTGCACCGTGATGCACTGAGATATCGAGTTAAACTGAATTGATGGCATGATAATCATAACCAAACCGAACCGTGACACCAGTTTAGGTTAACACCTCTACTGATTTATGTGATTTTCATCATAATTACCTCCAGCAACTGCAAACAGGACCCCCGTCACCTTACATATGAAGGTTCGCAGCCTCACAATTCCTGGCACCTTTACTCCATTAAGGTAACTTTTAATTTCAGGGATACCCGACCCAGCTGCAACAGGCTGATACACAGAGAAACAAAGCAACTTTTTACTCCCCCAATAACGCATTTTACGAATATTATTGAATTAGCTAAAAAAGCACTTTAAATAATATATACATGTGTATATACACACACACACACACACACACACACACACACACACACACTTGAAACCAGAAGTTTACATACAGTACTCTATAAAAAAAGGAACATAACCATTTTTTAAAATGTCTGATGGTAAATCATACTAAACGTTTACTATTTTAGGTCCGTTAGGATTACCTTAATGATTTACATTTGCTAAATGCCAGAATAATGAGAGAATTTCTTTCTTTTTTTTGAGAATTTTCTATTAATTTCTAGACCAGGGGTCACCAATCCTGGTCCTGCAGGGCCGGTGTCCCTACTGAGTTTAGCTCCAACTTGCCTCAACACACCTGCCTGGATGTTTTAAGTATACCAAGTAAGAGCTTGATTAGCTTGTTCAGGTGTGTTTGATTAGAGTTGGAGCAAAAATCTGCAGGACACCGGCCCTCCAGGAACAAGTTTGGTGACCCCTGTTCTAGACAGTCAAAAGTTTACATACATTTCCTTGGTATTTTTTTATTTTAGCTTTCCTTACTTTGGTCAAATGTTTTGGGTATCCTTCCACAAGCTTTTCACAATAGTTTGAAGGAATTTTGCCACATCATGAGTCAGATTTGTTGGCTGTCCTGCTCACACAAGCTTTTTCAACTCTGCCCACATATTTTCTATAGGATTGAGATCAGGGCGTTGTGATGGCCACTCCAAAACTTTCACTCTGTTGTCCTTAAAGCACGTTTTAACTAATCTGGCAAATGACTTTACTGTTAAATGTATACATTATTCACTAACCTCAATGAGCACTAGAACACTGGAGATGAACACGAACATCATATTGAGAGCCAGCAGCTCCAGTAATGAAAGAGCTAGACAGCCATTCTCACTGCATTCCTCCACAGCTGAATATAACGTCAAGGACTCCAACACAACAAAAAAGCATAAAAATACATAAACCAAAACACACAGCAGCACTGAGCAGAAAGGATACATTGCCCAACCACGTTGAACTTCAGCTGAGTGAAAAGCCGCACAAAGAAATCAACGAAAAGGCCAGTCTGAAAAAGAAAATGTATATTTTTTAATATACCTTAAATCACAGAAACTGTATAAAAAAAATTATTATTAATAATAATAATAATAATAATAATAATAATAATAATAATAAAAGCTTAACTGAAATACTTAAGAGCCTATAAATATATTTTTGGCTTGTTTTATGTTTGGTAACAATTCTTTTAAATTAACTACATTCCACTTTTTTAAAAATGGGCTTATTTTCCGAGTAAACTAGTGTCAAAGAGTTCAGTTTGACCATTTTTTAAATCTATTCAGATAATATCTGGGTCTGAAGGGAGAACGTTGAGCTTAGCTTAGCACAAATCATTGAACTAGATTAGACCATTAGCATCTCACTCGTAAAAGAAAAAAAAAAATTTAAAAATTAAATAATAATAATAATTTTCCTATTTGAAGCTTGATCCTTCTGTAGTTATATTGTGTACAAAAACTGACAGAAGCTGAAAACTATTTTGTAGGTTGATAAGGCTGGGAACTATACTCTCATTCTGGTGTAACAAATCAAGGTGCAGCAGGTGCAATGATATTATGAAGTACTGCTACCTAGTGACCTAGCTGCAGACTATTTTCATGCAATGTATAATGTCATTGTACAGAAGAGCCTATACTCAAATAGGAATTATTGAAAGTCTTCAAAAATGCTAAAACCAATCTGTTTAACTATTGGGGACTTAAGCATATTCCCCTCAATAAGTGGAGTGTTTGTTTAACCCAACCCATGCAGTGTGTAGGTTTGTATTCCTAAAACAACCATACTGGCATGCATATTCATATTCAGTGGTCATTTTCTATATTGACAATGCAAAGATACATTTGGCTAAAAAAAGATGTTTAATTTGCACACATGAAATTGATCATTAAACTTATTAGTTATTACTAATATAATAAACCTACACTCACCGGCCACTTTATAAGGTACACCTATCCAATTACTCGTTAACACTAATTTCTAATCAGCCAATCACATGGCAGCAACTCAATGCCTTTAGGCATGTAGACATGGTCAAGCCGATCTGCTGCAGTTCAAACCAAGCATCAGAATGGGGAAGACAAGTAATTTAAGTGACTTTGAACGTGGCATGGTTGTTGGTGCCGGACGGGCTTGTCTGAGTATTTCAGAAACTGCTGATCTACTGGGATTTTCACGCACAACTATCTCTAGTGTTTACAAAGAATGATCTGAAAAAGAGAAAATATCTAGTGAGCGGCAGTTCTGTGGATGCAAAAGCCTTGTTGATGCCAAAGGTCAGAGGAGAATGGCCAGACTGGTTCCATCTGATGGAAAGGCAACAGTAACTCAAATAAGCACTCGTTACAACCGAGGTCTGCAGAAGAGCATCTCTGAATGCACAATACGTCGAACCTTGAAGCGAATGGGCCACAGCAGCAAAAGACCACAGCGGGTGCCACTCCTGTCAGCTAAGAAAAGGAAACTGAGGCTTTAATTCACACAGGCTTTGCAAAATTGGACAATAGAAGATTGTAAAAACGTTGCCTGGTATGATGAGTCATAATTTCTGCTGCAACATTTAGATGGTAGGGTCAGAATTTGGGATCATGAAATAATCCTGCCTTGTATCAACGGTTCAGGCTGGTGGTGGAGGTGTAATGGTGTGGGGGATATTTTCTTGGCACACTTTGGGCCCGTTAGTACCAATTAAGCATTGTGTCAACACCACAGCCTGCAGGAGTATTGTTGCTGACCAGGATCATCCTTTTATGACCACGGTGTACCCATCTTCTGATGGCTACTTCCAGCAGGATAATGCAATATGTGATCATGTCCTAAAGCGTGAATCATTTCAGACTGGTTTCTTGAACATGAAAATGAGTTCACTGTACTCAAATGGCCTCCACAGTCACCAGAACTCGATCCAATAGAGCAGCTTTGGAATGTGGTGGAACGGGAGAATCGCATCATGGTTGTGCAGCCGACAGATCTGCAGCAACCAAGTGTTGCTATCATGTCAATATGGAGAAAAATCTCTGAGGAATACCTTAAGTATCTTGTTGAATCTATGTCACGAAGAATAAAGGCAATTCTGAAGACAAAAGTGAGTCCAACACAGTTCTAATAAGGTGTACCTAATAAAATGGCAGAGGATATATATATATATATATATATATATATATATATATATATATATATATATATATATATATATATATATATATATATATATATATATATCCGATTTCGATTTTGGCTTTTAACGATTATGAAAAAGCATTAATCGAGATAAACGATTATTCCAGCATCTCCCGCCCCCTTTCCAGTTGTACACGTGTTGCTCTGCAAAGCTCAGTTCCACGTGAAAATGACTAAAAGCATGTGTTGTAATGTAACTTTTGCAGCACGGGATGCGCATCATTCATATTTTTAAAAGCGCGAAGAAGCACGTGTTGTTTTGTGTGTGCGCACCGAGCTTAGCCTCGGACAGGTAACTTGTGTGTGTTTGCATGCGCGCTGTGCTTAGCTTCGGACAGCAGGGCACACACACATCTAACGCCATCTTAATGTAATTTAATAGTAAAATACATGCACATTTGTGTCAGAGCACGGTGTTTAGTGATTATTCATATTAACCCTCATTTGTGTAATAAACTAACAAGTTGAGAATCAAAAGACATGTGAAAGAGAAACCATATCAGAGCCGCACTATTCTTAAAGTGGCAGTGTGCGATATTCCAGCTGCTGCCGACTGTTTTTATTATTAATCAATAATAAAATCAAAAATACAGTGAAGATGCTTAAAGCACAGTTTAATCATAACAGATTTAATAACTCATTTCTAATAACTGATTTCTTTTATCTTTGCTATAATGACAGTACATTATATTTTACTAGATATTTTTCAAAATACTAGTACTCAGCTTAAAATGACATTCAAAGGCTTAAATAGGGTAAATAGGCAAGTCATTGTATAACAGAAGTTTCTTATGCAGACAATCAAAAATATATATTGCTTGAGGGGGCTAATAATATCGAGCTATTAAAATAAGTTTCAAAATATTTAAACCTGCTTATATATATATATATATATATATATATATATATATAATAAAATAAAATAAATTCACAGAAGGGCGAATAATTTTGACTTCAACTAATAATCGTTTTGAATAATTGTGATTACAATTATGATCAAAAAAAAAAAATAGTGATTATGGTTTTTACCATAATCGAACAGCCCTAATATATATATATATATATATATATATATATATATATTAGTTTAAGGTTACTCTGATGTATTTGCAGTATCTAGAACCTTGATCAAAATAATTTTTTTACAACTCACCAGTCCTGTTGATACTCCAATCGCGAAGACTAAAATCCACTTTATTGCTTCATATTTTCTGGCTTTCTGAGAGGTAAATGATTCATTACAATTTGTAAAAAAATCTTTTGAGATAAAGTGCTCATCACAAAGTTTACCTTATTATCCAACCCTTCCAAAACCTCCAAGAACGGCTCATTAATACAACGGTCATAATCCAAACTCTGAAAAACCAAAAGATAAAACAGAAAATACAATATATATATATATATATATATATATATATATATATATATATATATATATATATATATATATATACATATATATATATATATATATATACATACAATATGCAATGTCTGTATTATTTTAAAATGGTAGATTAAGACATAAGAGCATGCGAGTATTGCTTTTAAAGGCGTGTTATAATCAGCGTTGTCCATTGTTTACTGACCTCATAGTCTTTTCTTGGCAATATTTCATCATCATCTTCTCTGGTTTCACCGAGTATTGTCTAATAAGCAAAAAGCCAGCAATGAAATCAGTTTAACATGCTTGAAAAAAGAGACCAGATGCTTCAGAAAGGAACCCCCCATTCAGATGCTTTCTTTTGACGTTTCTGAGGTTTCCCAGATTGAGATCTCTGTCTTTAAAAAGAACAGATGGCCTGTGACGACTTCACACAATGGCATGACTTATTCTGAGCACATCTTTGACATTTTACTTTACTATACCTAGGATAATGGTTTGTCTGCTACAATATCATCAATTCTTCACAACAATAAGTAACTGATAAGCAGTATTATATGAGGTTATTCGTCCCATTGTTATGAGGTTATTCATCACACATAAGCTGTGTCTAATAATCTGGTGAACTTTCTAATGAGAAAAATATTATAGTGACAGGTGATAACGCCCAAATTGAATATCCTTTATGATATATTATCCTGTAAGATGCCCAAAAAAGCGGTACAATATAATAAACTCGTGACTAATACATATTATTAAAAACTGCTTATTGAATATTAGTCATCTCAGAATCTTCTAATGCTTGCTAAACAGACAGTTAATGTACATTATTCTGTTTACAGTGTATCTGGGTGGAGAATAGCAGGGGAAGCATCACTTATTAAAGCAACGAAAAGCACGCGCGTTTCAGTCAATAAAGTGTAACGGATCTGGAAGCAGATACCACGCATAAACGGACTCATACCAGCTCCTCTGGTGTTCTTGTTTCGCCTTCATTGCAGCAGCATTGACAACACAAACATCCTCCACAACACGCCATCTTCAGCAACACAACACACACCGCTAGGCAGATCTGATCACATGACCATCACACACTGGGTGGAGGTGCTCGAGCACGCAGTGGCTGCGCAGCTTAAACGCAGGCGAGGAACTTTCAGGCGCGCATTTTTTTACGGTAAGGTAAAGTTGGTTCCCACTTGGCTGTCGGTGGTTTAACATACATACATCACAAACTACTTAAAAATTATTCGAAGTATTTTTTTGCCATGCATTACTCTGCAGTCTTTATCAAACAAGCTAATTAAATAACTTAAACTCAAAATAATATTCCATGTTAAGTTATTTGACAAGTAACTTTGTATTGTAGAATAACAGAGGTCCACATTATCAAGCGAACCCAAACCCAGAACTCAAAATCCAACCTGTTTTTTTTTTCAGTCGAGTCACTTCTAACGTTACGCTCGCCGCCATTTTATTTCACGGCGACGAATGCAGCGCGTCTCAACATTTTGAAAAATAGAGATGTATATATTTGGAAAAAAATATTAATTATTAAGTTATTATTAAGTTACCTTCCGCTTTAAGTTGTCTTTTTAAATCTTTGATGCGTCTACCTCAGTCAGTTTACGGAAATTTTTACCATGGTTTTAACGGTTTTAACGGTAACCAACCTTTTTTTGTTGGGGTCCGCCAAGCGACCGTAACTTCACGTCTAACGTTAGAAGGGTTTAATGATCTTAAAACACGTATAAATTAGAGATGAAGAAAGTTTACTCGATCACAGGAAGGGTAAGTGACCCTCTGTTACTCAAGTGGTACTAACGTTAACGTTACCAATCCAGGGCAAAATGCTCCGCCGCATATGGCAAGCCAAATTAGCTTAAAATGCACTTAGCATTAAGGTACTCGTCATAATCAACTAGTAAGTTAACGTTAACAATTTAATTATAAAGCTCTCCAATTTAAAGTAAGAATTACATTAAAGAACTTTCTAATTGCAGTTGTTAAACTGGGCTCTATTTGCATTTCTTACTAACGTTAGTACAAATTCAATTGTGGCTCTGTCATTATAATTGAATGGAAGTCAACTGAGACTAACATTAAATAACTAAGTTTGTAAAAAAACAAACTAGAGCTTCATAACTTTGATTGTTAAGTTGTATTGTTGCAAGTTTGTTTACGTGGGTTTACTTTCCTACAGGTTGTCTGGTTTCCATTGTTGTGCCAGGAGCGCACCCCTACTCTATAATGCACCCCCTCTGAAATGTGCATCTCTTAACTGAAATTAATTGTAAAAAGTTAATAATACAGTTATAACACTAATGAGAGTGACTGAGGTAAGTTTCATGAATGGAACCCGTCCCTTACAGGACAGAAATAAACAAATACATTGATTGACTTTAAATACAATACAGATGAGATTAAGTAAATTGTTTAATGTGTGGTTTAGTTTAAAAATAGGTGGTTTAGAAACTACGTTTCCATCCACCTATTTTTATATGCATTTTGCATGTGCATTAATTTTGAAAAGGCACATAAAAAACATATACGCATGAATAAACTTGCGCCAATATGCGTAGGAAAACTGTTTATTAGATTAGAAAAGCAAAACTACGATAAAAAAAAAGTTCCAGTGTGCACATTAAAAAAGTCACGTGATTTTGTTATAAGAGATCATGTGATCGCAATTGCAAAACTGGCGCTTTTAAGGTCTGTTTTCTTTAAAAATCAGCGATCTCCACTAGCTGAGTGATATTCGATATAAAGAGGGGCTCAGATTGTAAAAGAAGCACTGCATTAAATTACAATTTCCCCCGCTATGTCTTTGTAATATGAGCATTTATTTTTCCCCAGTATATTCAATGGAGCTTCTGCGCTAACCTGCTGATTCTGCGGGCACGTGCGAGTAAACGGTAAAGTCTAGATCGGATATGCGGCCGACAGGAGGTGCGATATGCACATTAATAAAGCAGCATTTTTTTATGACACTGTATAACAATAATTACTATTTTTACAGTACTGTGAGGGTTGGGTTTAGGGTTGGGGTAGGCGTTAAAAAATACATTTTATTGGGTAATTTAATAGATAACATAACTAATACTCGGTACAACTACAGTTTTTACATTACTGTGACGGTTGGGTTTAGGGTTGGGGTGGGGGTAGAAGTTAATAAAATACAACAAATGAGAAATTTAATAAATAATAGAAATAGTTCGCGTTAACTTCCGGCTGCAAACGTATCCGCTCTAGCAACAACCCGAGTAAACAGCTTTTTGTCTTATTTTACGCTTGAGCAAATAAATGAATGCCAAAGTTTATTTAACTGAATGTTTTTTGAATGGCAGACACGTGAACTAGGAGAATGTTTTTCTCGTATTTCTGACGCGCTTGAACCACATGTGACAAATTATAACGGCTTTAACAGACACATTTCTAAGTTGTGTGTCACAAAAACACTCTGTTATCCATTAAAAATGTCATTGAAACCCATTTTCGGAGCGCAAATTACCAGTTGTACAGGTTGTAAATGGAAGTTTTTTAGCATTCTACCGGAAGACGCTGGTCGCTATGGCGCCCTCCATGCAGCAGCCATGAAAAAGGGTCTATAAAAGGAAAAAAGTTCACAATAACGGTTCACCGGAAGTTTATCAGTATGGAAAAAACACTAGCTCGGCATATACCCCATTAGTGTTATTATATTATTAATGACCTCCAGAATTAAGAGCTGCAGCACGTTCACTTCAAGTCAGGATTGTCTTCCGAGGCACAAGTCATTTATTAAATGAAAAAAAGATTCACGCAACTTCTCCTACCACAGCAAATTTCGTTTTTACTGCTGATATTTGGCACCAGATAATCAGGAATTGACGCTTTTATTCGCTTTGACTCGGAAGGAAACACTGCTTTATTCGCATGTCTTATATGTGATAATCCAGTTTTGCGCATAAAGTTGATTTACATTTTTGGATGGAAACATAGCTAATATTATTATTATTTTATGGTTATTTGTAAACCTAGTGCATTTTAAAATACGTTTTACTTCTTATCTTTGCTTTATCCATCAAAATAATAATCATTTTATGTTTTGATCAATTATGGCTGTTTTCTCAGGGATGGGTTGCGGCTTAAAGGGCATCCGCTGTCTAAAAAACGTGCTGGATAAGTTTGCGGTTCATTCCGCTTTGGCGACCCTGGATTAATAAAGGGATTAAGCCGAAAATTAATGAATGAATTATGGCTGTTGATTTTTTTTAAATGTAGACTGAGATATTAATGAAAGTCTATGAATGCTGCATTTTGCAGGAGGGGTATGTGTCTCAGCACAATACCGGATTTGTTAGTAAGTGAGTGAGCTTTAAAATGTTATTCATTCATTTATTCATTCTCTTTTAGGCTTAGTCCCTGGGGTCGCGACAGCGGAATTAACCGCCAACTTATCAAGCATGTTTTACACAGCGGATGCCCCTCCAGCTTCAACCCATCATTGAGAAACATCTATACACACTCATTCACACACATACACTAAAGGCAATTTTAGCTTACCCAATTCAGCTGTACCACATGTTTTTGGACTCGCAGGGGAAACCGGAGCACTTGTAGGAAACCCACGCAAACACGGGGAGAACATGCAAACTCCACACAGAAATGCCAACTGACGCAGCTGGAGCTCAAACCAGCGACCTTCTTGCTGTGAGGCGATTGGGCGGGTATAAGAATCTGACGGTATAATCTTCACTAAAAAAAATATATTTTTTAACTTGTTCAAACTACTTAATTAAAATGAGCTTAAACAACACAATTCTTTAGATTTCATTACATTTTTTTATGCTCAATTCTTATAAATTAGTTAAAAGTGTTAAGTTAACTTAATCGATTTGTGTTGGGACAACATGAATGAATCAACCTTTTTCCCCTTTGAACACAATATATTTTATTTTGAGAAACTTTTAAAATATCTTGAATCACTGACTTCTGCTGTCTTCATTTAAAAAAAAAAAAACATACTTCATTCAAGTTGAAAAGACATTTTTGGAGATCTTTCCTGCTGGAGATACTGTTGTTCTAAAAATTTAAAGCAAAACATTTTTTTTAAAAACCTTACATATACTGCGCAGCATTGAAAAATAAAAAATGTTGCCGTTTTTAAAACCTTGACTTTTCCAAACCGCGGTATACTTTGAAAACAGTTATCGTCCCATGCCTAACCTGAGTACGTTTTTAACCCACCCACCCAACACACAACACATTTGAATCAACCTTGCTTGCATACACACATTCACAAGTGTTATATACAGTTGAAGTCAGAATTATTAGCCCCACTATGATTTTTCTTTCTTTTTTAAATATTTTAAAAAATGATGTTTAACAGCAAGAACATTTTCACAATATGTCTGATTACTGTATATTTTTTCTTCTAGAGAAAGTCTAGTCTGATTTATTTTATCTTTACCATGATGAAAGTACATAATATTTTACTAGATATTTTTCAAGACACTTCTATACAGCTTAAAGTGACATTTAAAGGCTTAACTAGGTTAATTAGGTTAACTAGGAAGGTTAGGATAAATCGGAAAAATATATAGCTGAAAGGGGCTAATAATATTGACTTTAAAATGGTTTTTAAAAAAATAAAACTGCTTTTATTCTAGCCAAAATAAGACTTTCTCCAGAAGAGAAAATATAATCAGACATACTGTGAAAATGTCCTTGCTCTCTGTTAAACATCATTTAAGAAATATTTAAAAAAGAAAGAAGATTCAAAAGGGGGCTAATAATTCTGACTTCAACTGTACATATATAACACTTGTAAATGTGTGTATGCAAGCAAGGTTGATATAAATGTGTTGAATTAAAGTTTCAATTAATGTGTGACCACAAACAGTGTAATTGTTTTATACAACAAAAAAATCTAAAAGTTTTAAGATCAAGATTACACAAGAAACAAAGAAAGAAGAGTTGTGTTAAAGTCAAGAAGAGATACAGCTGCAGACTGGCAGTTGAATGTAGTACAATTTTTGTAACTGTACAAGAATAATTCTCATTTACATTACTGTGAAGAGTAGGTGTTAATAAAACATAATTTAATATAATAATAATAATATACAAAATTTAATAAATAATATAACTGATTTTTATTTATTCCCAGCTGGAGCCACCATTTAGTAAAATCGAAACAATGACACCATATTTTATGTTCAATTTACAGCAACACAGGACAGGTCAACATAGAATGCATAAATTAAAATGACACTGAATAAAATGAACAAACTTTATGTTTGAAATGTACACAATTTTATTCATGATAATCAAACATAAATATACAACATTTATTTACAAAAATACATTTAGTCAGATCCTCCTCTTTATCGAGCCACAAACACCGGCCCCAATCAGCTTCTTCTTTTTGGAAAGCCACACAGACTCCAGTCTGCTCCTCCTTTTCATCCAATCACAAACACCTGCCCCAATCAGCTCTTCTAAATCCAACCACAAACACCTGCCCCAATCAGCTCCTCCCCTACATCCAGTCACAAACACCTGCCCCATTGGTGTTAGTGGCTGGATGAAGTGAAGGAGTTTGGTGTTAATGGCGTGATGAAGAGGAAGAGCTTGGTGTTAGTATCTTTGATGAAGAGGAGAAGCCTGGTGTCAGTAGCTTTGATGAAGTCAAGTGAAGCATGGAGTTAGTGGCTCGATGAAGAAGAGGAGGTGCTTGATTTTAGTCTCTGGATGAAGAGAAGATTCTTCAGCTTCAGTTGTATATTCTCCAGCGTTGTATCTGGTTGGAAAATACAAAATATGCAATATTAGCTTCATGTAAGATAATAGTAAATTAATAATAAACTCAAATAAATAGTAAGTAGTAAACAGATTAAATGATCACATCTACAGTAAAGCACATGCATGATATAACCATTTACGTTGAAATATGAAAAAAGCTAATTCTAAACAATAAAACTATATTAGTGTATATCACAATAACTAAAACAATATCTATAGATGCAAGCATATCTAAAATATAATGCAATAATTAACTGTAATATCCACAACATTTCTGTAAAACCCAAATTCTTGCTTAATGTAAATCTTAAAAACGAGTCACAATGCCAAATTGTGTAGTGTGACTCCCTCTTGTGGATTATTTACATGTTGCCAAATACCACCGTGATTTGAAGAGGGAATATCAAGTCATGTAGTGCAGTGGTTCTCAAACTTTTTTTATCAAGTACCACCTCAGATAAAATTGTCCCTCCAATTACCACCATATAACCAGTATTGAAATACAGTAACATAGTAGGCCTAATTAAGCAGCTACAGCTCTGCAAGGCTATTGCCAAGCGAAGAATTGTGACAGCCTTTAGTGGGGAAAAAGTAGAATATTTTGCACATATTTAAGTCATGTTGGGGCTTTTGTTATTAAACTGACCTGAATGTGCCTCAACTGTTCTGATCTTCTTAATCGTTTCTTCTGTTGCTTGGCTTCAGGATCAAAACCTGGAACCAGTTATGGAGGAGGATCTTTTCAAGTGGAATCCGCTTGGTTGGATCACTTTCCAAACACGAACAGATCAGGTCGATGCATTCTGTGAAGAAAGAAGGAACAGATGTCAGGTTATTAGACTAGCCACAAACTTTACGGCTGGTGTAATTGATCACATTGTTTTAAGTTCTTGTTTCATCATCCTCATGCTCTTACCTTTGGATAGGTCGTCATGCTGCCAGGTTCTGGTGGCAATCCTACTGAGCTCTTTTTTAGGGAAATGTCCACAAAGCAGCTTGAACAACAGTACTCCTATAGAGTACACCGTTGCAGTCTTGGCATGCATCCTGCCACATTTGTCAAATTCCGGAGGAGCATAAACTCTTGTACCTGGAAGAAAGATCAAGAGCAGTTAGCCATTTATCATATTAGCAAAAATGTATCTGCTGATCTCTTTGGCTTTGCCTAGAAGACTATATATAACTTGTCTTTATTATTATACATACCACGGAATGTTGTGTAGCCCTTTTTGGTCACGACACTTCCAGCACCAAAGTCGATGAGTTTGACCTGCAAGGTGTGGGGGTTGATGAGCAGGTTTTCCATCTTGATGTCGCTGTGGTAGACTCCCCTTTCACAGCATACTTTTGCAGCAGTGGCCACCTGGCGTATCACCACTCGTGTTTGGGATTCGCTGATTTTCCAACCATGCTGCATTACAAACCTGTCCAGGTCCATACATGGTTCGGGACGCTCTACCACCAGTACGTATTGGGTTCGTGACTCAAACCAATCCAGCGGTTGTATTATTTGAGGAACGTAAGGACCTCTGCTTATCAAATACATCAAGCCGACTTCTTGTGGAACAGTCTTCTGTGATGATAGCTACAAGAGAGATAATAGACATATGATAGTGAGATGTGATTGAACTGAAGTTGAGGTCAGTATTTTAACAACTTTAGCACGGTGTACTTACAATCGTCATGGTTCTTCTTGTATGACTCTTGCTCACATATTTGATTGCCACCTGTTCATCAAAAAAAGATGGTTATTTCATACAATCAAGTCATGTAACATTCATGAAGTTAAATAGCAAGAAAGCACTTTTTTATGTTTGAAACAAACCTTTCGTGAATCAGACAGACGAACTCCAGCAGAGACCACTCCAAATGTTCCTTGACCTATAACATTATCCACTTGATATTCCTTGTAGATGTTACCTGTAAAAACAATCAATGAAACAAATAATGAAGTACATTTATAGCATAAACCATCAAAAAGTTGATCGAAGATTGCTTTAGAATAGCACTATTTTATTAAATTATTATTAAGCTAATTAGGCCTCATTAACATTTGGTTACTGTGCTTATGTATTTTTTTTTTTTGTAGATTTGTACTCAACTAACTACAGTTTAAACTGGCAACCCCAGTACATTTCTGAAGAAAGGATAAACAGTACTTTTACTCCTTAACATTGTTTTTTTATTATTGTAATAACAACAGGCCATTTTAAAAAATAGAAATACAAAAAATTATAGAAGTATAGTACAAGCAATACAAATATTACTTTGTTCTTAACATTCAGCTGTGTTTAAGTATTTATAACATTTGTCTCATCTTTATTTTTCTTCTTTAGCTTGGGCAGCAAAATTCTGGTAAAATAGATTATGTGATGTATTTATAACAATATTTCCTAGAGAAATGCCATTTTTACTAGCTATTTTTAATGTATTCATGAGTATCACTCATAGTAATGTACTATGAGTATCACTCATAGTTAAATAAACAGTAAAATATATTATGCTGATTTTATATATATATCAGCAGATGTTCTGATTTATAGTTCATATTTGCTGTTTCACTTTCCTCTCGTCTCTATTCCTGCCATTAACTGTTAATTTTCAGCTTTTTGCTCTCTGAGGCCTTAAGCTCAACTTTCTGCAATATGGATATTGCAAATACACTATTATTGTCTTAACTATACTTTAAAAAAATCTTTTGTGCAACCCTAATCTTAGCTATATACTTTAGGCTGAACACTTAATAAACTGACCGGTATCTGCTCCCTCCATATTAAATGGGGTGTACTCTTCTGTCTTCCAAGAATAGTCATCTGATGAGGAAGGCGTCCTTTCCTCCGACTCTATGGAGTCCTCACTGGAAGCGTTTTCCTCGTTGTTGTGGTCAGCGGTCAGCGAAGACGCACAAGAGTGCCTGCTGTGCACTGAAGCGCGGTCAGATTCGTTGATCTCCTCGGTGCCAAGCGAAGACACACAAGAGTGCCAACTAAACACTGATGCGCGGTCAGATTCGCTTTTCTCCGCGGGGTCAAGCGAAGACGCACAAGATTGCCAGCTTTGCACTGAAGCGCGGTCAGACTGGCTGATATCCGCGGGGGTCAGAGAAGAAACACACAAGTGCCAGCATTCAGTGTCGGGCTGTTCGGTTTCTGTTGACGGGGTCTTCACAGGGGTCTGGATAGACACGCACCTGTTGTTGACCCGCTCGTCCTGAACCGGCCTCGGCGACACACACGCAGCTTCACCATTATGGGATCTCTGATTCTGTGGGCTGCTCAGCTGGGTCTGTGGGGCTCTGGTTGTGGTTTTCTTGAATTTCCGAGAAAACCATTTCCGGAACCTCTTTAGTTTCTTCTCCGCTTTCTGTGGTGCTGGGCTTGGTGAAACACCAGCCCCGGTATGAATGTGAGAGATGAACGCGACGTTACTTGGTCCGGCTTCGCCATCAGAACATCTCTGGTGCTCGAGGTCGCCCTCGATTAGGTTCTTCTGGGTTTTCCCGGATTTCCGAGAAAAGACCCAGTTACAGAACTTTTTAAATTTCTTTACAACTCCCATAGATTCAGATTTCTTTCCAAAATGAAGAGAATCGTTATCAACGGTGGATTGACTATTTAAAACCACGATCAACTGATTAAATCTCATATAAAACGCAGCTCTAAGTTTGTGCTACTGTTCAATTCAGACGACGAGTTGTAAATGAGTGATTATTCCACTTCCATGGAAACATTGAACTTTCGAACGTTTGACGTCATTGCTCATTTGCATACAGCGCAGAGGAGAGCAGCGCTCGAAGAAAACCGCGATTTACAGAAAACGAAGATATTGCCTGTATTTTAAAGCTCTACATTTGATATATTATGGATTATTATATTATTAAATAGTGGTAAATAGTCTGCTCTGGTCTACATCTTAAATAATATTAGTAATGACAATAAGCTAATCTAAATTTGCCCCCTCCCCCAAACCCCTTAATGGTTCATACCATTTTCAATGCGTAATCGCGCCTAGGAAAATATTCATCTTGCAATCTTAAAGATAAACTCTGAAATTATACAAAACACACATTTATCTTGTAAAATATGGTTTTATCTACATAAAGCCTTAACTAAAGCCAGCTTAGCCTCATTGTGTGCATTTAAATGGACGCAAGTGCTTGCACAAGGAGGTTAAACAGTAAACACGATCTCTTGTCATCCATTCAATGATGAAAATAGGTTAAAAAGGAGAATAACATGTTTATTGAAATAGCCCGTCAAAAATTAAGACTAAAATGACCAATTTCTCTAAAACACTGAAAACTTGCATATGTTTGATTAATAAATGAGGTAAAATTGAATTCAGTATACATTTGGCTTCATGATGCATGCATATGTATTATATACACTACTGGAAAAGTCAAACCAGCTCAGCTTAATTTCTGTATTGGTTTTGCAGTAGTTTGAAATGTCCATATTTTTTAGAAACATCCTGGCCTCGTTTGCTCAAAGCCTTTGGAACAGGTCATTATATAGGATCATTCTATATGAAGTACTTGTATTATTTACTACTGCAGTGTATATCAAATGACATTTACTGAACAACACCATTAAACAAACAACAATATTAAGATGTTAAATAAATGAGTTAAATCACATTTTCATATTGCATTTATTATTACGCTGTAAAGCTTAACATTGCAGTCAAACCTATTTGTTCTGGGGCAAATAACAGATGATTATATATTATTATATATTATATTCTCATTTTTTATTATGATGTTGTTATTATTATGTGATATATAAATATTGGCATTATATATACCCAAAATGAATTATATTTCACAGTTAACCACTTGATTGACTCCTGGATACATTGTAACATACATTACCAACACAAATAGAACTACATTCCCATGTTAATAATACATGATGTAGTCCAACAGCATGCTGCAATATTTGTTAAACTACAATGAGTTCAGTCTCTGCTTGGCTCTTCACTCTCATAAGGGTATACAGTGGAATATAGCAGGGCTATTAACCAATCAGATTCAAGAACCTCACCTCCATTACATGATGTCTTGTGCAGTGCAATGCAAAGTAAAAACGCAATTCATTACCTCTTTAAAATAGTTACTAAAAGGAAAGATTATCCCTTGCTTTAGTTTCTCCGGTTTACATTGTGGACAAAATTCCAACACTTCTCCCACCTTGCTTCCTTTGGGATTGGTCAGGCTGTCAGTAGGCCAAACAAAGTTCAACAAGAAATGCAAAAATAAATAATTGTGTGCTCAGAATCCCTGACTTATTATCATGTGTTCACATTTTATCTTACCTTTAGCATATTTGATCTCAGCTCATAGTCTCCATAATAATACATTAAGTTTATATCTCACACTTCTTTTGTTTTCTTAGAATTTACAAACTCACCACTGTTATAAATGTATGCTCAAAAGTCTGGAAAGGTCTATACTTACATTTTTGAGAGAAAAAATACAGAACTGTGAACTAAAATAGGTAAATGCTACATAGAATATTTCATACTGTAACTGTAGGACTAATACAAAATGTAAAAATTTGTAATCAGCCAATCACATGGCAGCAACTCAATGCATTTAGGCATGTAGACATCTGCCGCAGTTCAAACCGAGCATCAGAATGAGGAAGAAAGGTGATTTAGGTGACTTTGAACGTGGCATGGTTGTTGGTGCCAGACGGGCTGGTCTGAGTATTTCAGAAACTGCTGATCTGCTGGGATTTTGATGCACAACCATCTCTAGAGTTTATAGAGAATGGTCCGAAAAAGAGGAAATATCCAGTGATATTGGGCGCAAATGCCTTGTTGATGTCAGAGATCAGAGGAGAATAGCCAAACTGGTTCCAGCTGATAGAAAAGCAACATTTACTCAAATAACCACTCGTTACAACCGAGGTCTGCACTTACTGTACTTTCACTTACTGTTTTTGCTCTTCATCCTGTACAATGTTGCTTGTGTGTCTATCTTTGAGTGCAGAAGATGCATCGGTAGAGGCATTGGAGATGTAGCTGGAGGCAGTTGCAGTGTGACTTTGAGATGAAACGAGCACAACTCCGGGAACAACGAGCCTTGACGTCGACCTGGCTGCTGCTCTCTCGTAAGTGTGCAATACAATCTCAACACTCCTTTCACCTCAAATCCGTGTGTTTCTCTGTCCAGGCCCAGCGTACCAGCGGCGAACCCGAGCCAGGACCCAGGGCAGGTGCTCAGGATTGCTTCACCCCCCTCTGAGAGACAGGATGCAACGCCACACAAAAAAAAGTGATGTTCACACAGGCAAGGACGTCACGGCAGAAAAGACCATTCACACATCCATTCCAAAATACTGATAAATTCTGACATCATTAACCAGAAATGAGCTCTAAACAGCCGCGCTTGTATTTGTAAACATAGAAGTGGTCAGACTTTTGTTGATAGCTTCACTTTATTTAAAGCTTTAGCATTCATACAGCTGCTTTGTCCCAGAGATATCCAAAGGCAGAAGTGCGAACAGTTCTTTGCTGTCTTTGCTCTTCACCCTGTATAATATCACTTGTGTGTCTATCTTTGACTGCAGGAGAAGCATCAGTGGAGGCGCTGGAGCTGCAGCTGGAAGCAGTGGAAACACAGATCTCGTGACCTTGATGAAACAAGCACAGCTCCGGGAACAACGAGCTTTGACGTCTACCAGGCTGCTGCTCTCTCGTCTGAGGTAAGTGTGCGATACAATCTCTACACTCCTTCCACCTCAACCCTGTGTGTTTCTCTGTCCAGGCCCAGCACACCAGGGATGCGGTACACTCAGGTGTCGATACCACGCCCCCAGGGTGCACCAGCACCGAACCCGAGCCAATCAATCCCTGTAGAGAACTGCTTAGCCCCCTCTGCGAGACGGGACACGACATTGGAATCATCAGTGATTCTGTTGTTCATCTCGTCCATGTGGCTTCCACTAAAGGTAACAATAACTTTGTTTCCATCCAAAAATGCGAATTAACTTTAAGCGCAAAACTGGATTAACGCATGAAAGATGTGCGAATAAAGCAGCGTTTCCATCCAACGAGTCAAAGAGAACAAAATCGTCACTTCCTGATTATCTTGCGCCAAATATCAACAGTATAAACGGAATTTGCTGCAGTAGAAGAAGTTGTGTGAATAGCCGCTTTTCCACTATCGTGCTGAATCGTTCTTTAAACAGAACTGTTCCATTCCGTGCCCAACCGGGCCAGACAGCACGGATACGGTTTCATTTTCCACTGTCGTGCTGCGACAAAGCTCTTTAAAACATTACACAAAACGCATCAGTAGTTGCCTTGGTAACGCAATGTAAACGGCTCCCTTTGTTCAATTAAAGTTAAATGAGAGCCGAAACTATTTTTTTTTTTTTTTCATAAAAGCAAAAGCAACCTTGTAACTAAACACTGTTATGCCGCTCTATCAAATAGGGGTGCTAAATGTGCACCCTTATTTATTTATATATTGCGCAGCTCTGGCTAAATTTTATTTGGAGGGAAAATTACCAAAATGTAACGTGATGATTGAAAATAATTGGAGGGGAAATAAATAATATTTAAAATCTCTGAACATAACAGAAAAATAAACAATGATAAGACAACAATTATAGTGCATTTGCATTATAGTGGCAGAAATATAATTTTGGGCAGGCCTTGTCAAAGGTGAGCGGGCACTAATAAAAACACAGCACATAAATTATTTATTTTTTAACAATCAATTAAATTACACTGCGTTTTTATATCAAAAGTTGATAATGATATAAAATATACTACATTTTGATGGTAAAATGAAACCAATTAAGCGATGGCTGTTATTTGTTTTACTATTCAAACATTAAATAACGAATGCAGCAAGTGAAAAAAAAACGAATATGAAACAACACATATATTGCAGGACTTAAAGCATATAAAGCACTATTATATTTAGCAAAATGCTGCTCTATTATCTTTTTATTTTGATCATTTTATTTTTATTATTATAATTATTTTTGTGTTCATAATTAACTAACAAGCTGTAGGCGAATTATTGCTAGACGTTTTAGAAAATATTTGCGTAGCTATATTAAAGATCACCACAAAAAAAAAAAAAAAACACAGAAACATGTTACATGCCTCATAAATGTCATATAACTTATGTATAACTGAATCATATAATTGCCTATAGCTGAAATGATGAAAATTGCTCATTTTATTTTTATAAAACATTTGTCTAAACGTATTGATATTTTTTGAGTAAAAGCAATACTGACATTTAAGAATCCATATTTATTTAATTCATTTATTCTTTTGACTTGTTTATTAGTGCATTTATATGCTATAATATAAATCATACAACAGTACCTTGGACAGTTACAGTGCCGCTTCGTAAAGCTTTCAAGCAAAGTCTTTTGGACGGCCGACATTACAACACGAACACGCCGTCCTTCAGGTGGTCTCGCCGGTATTAACAAGCTGTCCTGGCTTTGAATTAAAAAGTGCAATTATTTCCTCGTTAATAGTTAAGAGTCTGCAAGTTTGTGTTCCATGGATATAGTGATGTTGTTGTGGAA